CTCTATTGGATTTGGATCTGTGAGTGTAGAGGTCGTACAAGCAGAACATGTTGTCTTGTGTCCAGAGAACCACTTTAAGATGATGAGCTCTGCAGGACTCTCCTGCTGGAAGAAGTCATCACATGATGGATGCTGCATTATATAGAAAGGCCCTGGCATTTAAACAGTGCTCACTGTTTAATGAGTGTGCCAAGACAGTATCCGACACATCACTGCACCAACAACAGTTTTGTACATAGCATGTTTCCATGTTGTCATGTATCAGGACTTAACCTTGCACAGCATTCTCATTCTCTTTACACAAGATTCTCGTTTGTTAACTCACACATATCGTAAGACTCATTCTTTGAGTACACCCTCTGTATGGTTAATTGGGTACGCAGACCAATCACAACACAAACAAATATGGCACTGTCGACAGACATACTCCAGACTATTTTAGCATCAATACAGACTATTTAGTTTGTGGAAAACATGTAGGAGGTAAAGGCTTTTCGCATTTGTGGAAGATGTTGTGCTTGATGATGTGCCTCTCAACTGGATGTTACAAAAGTTCAATGTTTCAGCTTGTTCCACTGTTGTGACTCTTCGACCAATCAGTTTCAGATAATCAAACATTTGGGTGTTGCATTGATGTTTGATTTCTTTTGCAGCAGTTCTGTAGTCTGGTTGAATGCTTGTGTCTGATACCCTCTGCTGGAAACCGTGGCCAGTGAAGCATTTTGAATGAGAGATACTAGCAGCATGGCTTTGGCCAAGATGACTCTTAAAAGTCTCTTAAAAATCACTGTTCTCAATCAATGCATTTTTGTTTACAGAAGTGTATGGACATTTTGCTTACAAATTGTACAACGACATTTTTTATTGCAAAGCTTTGTTTGACCTTCAGCCGGTTTTCTTTGAACACATTTGATTCCAGAATTCCTCTCATGTCTCTACCTGAGTGCATGTTATAAAATTGCCAGTGTATGTACTTTTTTTTTTTTCCTGAGAGGATTGTCTCAAATTTGTCCTTTCTGTCAGAACCACTGCTTTCAGTCGATTGGTTAGTGTCCTCCGCAGATACGATTACTGGGTTTTTAATTTATTATAGTGTCTTTTCCTAATAACAAAACAACATGGCGGCAGCTGCTTTGGCTATATATTTATATATTTTTAACTGGCACTGAGCCTCCCCAGCACGCCTATTTGAAAACGTCTTAAGATGATCTGACATAATTCCTCTCCGCAGTTGCCGGGGTCTTATATTTCCAAGAGCTCGTCAATCAGGGCACCGGTCAAAGCAGTCATTTGTTGCTTATCCGTGGAAATGAGACTTAGGCTGCAATGAGAGCTGGTGCTGAGTGAGGAGAGGAAGCCTGCACAGCCCTGCAGCTCTGAGGGAGTCTGATGGAACAATATGAAATCAAAGCTACTCGCTTACAGCTCTTTGCACTCTAGTGTCTGGGATCAGTGCGCAGAGCCTACATACTAGTCTTCTCTTTCAGTCCAGTTAAAGAAGACATATTGTGCTTTTGGCTGCTATATAGTTATAATCTGTGAAACCCATGGAACAATATGAAATCAAAGTCACACTGTAGTGTCTGGCATCAGTGCACAGAGCTGTTTCTCTGTACTAGCTGTCTCTTTCCCTTATTCTCCATCTATGAAGTTAAAGCAGACGTTTTGTGCTTATGGCTGCTATATAGTTCTAATCTGTGAAACCCGTGGATCATTGATACATTTTAGACATTTAATAGTTGACTGAACATTCTTTGATAAAGGTTCAGTTTTAAACTAAAAAGGCCAGTTTGTTTAGCTGGTTTACATGTTTTGGGCACTTCCTGTAGCCTTCCTCAGAAGCGCAACAAATGCTTCTGTCTAACAAAAATAATCGCCAATTCAAAGTTGGGAGAACATTGATCTGAAATGACTTAAAAGAAACAAGTCCACCTACTTCCATGTTATAAATTTGCAGTATCCAATAGGAATTCAGTTTTCAGCCTCTCCTATAGGTAGCGCTGTTTGGGAGAAGAAATTTGCAGTGTGTTAAACATACATAAATGAAACGAAACAGAATATAACAAAGTTAGTGTAATATAAGCCCTTTAATATTAGTATTGTGTATTTCTTCCCTAACCCTGCTTGACTTTATATCACAGTGAGGCCATGTCGTCTCTCATTCCTCTCCATGTGTTCCCTCCAGTGTTCCTCTTACCCCAGCCCCCTGCTCTCCCCTCTCCCTCCTCTGTCTGCGGGGAGAAGACGGAGTGGCTCACTTGCACAGAGCTCACAGTTAATTAGGCTTGGCCATGTCACACGTCCATTGGCTGGAGCCTGGGCTGGAGCTAAACCCAGTGGGGAGGCCAGCAGCTCAGAGATGGAGATCTGGAGCATTTGGCGTCCAGTAACTGCCTTCTGCTGCTGTGGCCATTCCACTGCTCCCTGGAATCCAGTTTATCATGGAGGACTTCAGATGCATTCTTTACCATCATTATTTAACATTTTTTTGCCCTAGGAAATGCAAATTCTGTTTTTATATAAAGTCCACATTGTCCTCCTGTCATCATAAACCTTCTGATGTTGTGTATTGCTTGAAGGTCCTGTATTACACAAAATGGATTCTTGTGAGCTTTTAGCCATGTTATAATGGTGTTACCTCATCAAAAACATTCCCGCAGTTGTTTTATTTCATTTGCACATGTTTTAGTAATCATTTATTACTAGCCCCGTCTACTTCTGCAGATCAAAATGCTCTGTTCCATCTTGTCATGTCATCTAGTCGTAGTTTTCAAGTTCCACAGTATGACAGTAAACACATAAACACATCAAAAATACATTAAAAACATGAATCACTTCTTTGTGCAGGCTTGCTTCTCCATAGATCTGACCATTAGTCTGTCTCTGTTGTGATTACCGGTTCAAAGTTTATTTCCATACTGTGGAATAATCAACGTAAAAAAAGACAAGCAGGGTGCAGACTATCCACCAGAAAAGTTACACAGTGCATCTTTAACCTGAATATTGTGCAAATTGACAGCAAGCATGATGATTAAGACAATTTTTATCAAGCTATGGTTATGACTAACAATTTTCTGCAATTGTTACTGGCCCTTCCACCCTTCCACCTCTCCCTGAAGAAAAAAAAAACAAAGTTTAATACTGATCCTTGTGAGAAAAAAGGTTGGGGACCACTCCTCCGGAATGAAGTAAACATGCCTCTTCAATTGTTTGTATCTCTCTCGCATTCACACTGGCTATTGTTCACCAAACCCATTTTATCAATAGTTGCTTGCCAATATTGATTCAACATGAATTAATCACTTGTAGAATAATCAATGGAACAAAAAGTAACAGCCATGCATTTTCAGAGAAGGCCCATAGATCTGTGGGAAACTGCATTAGCCCAAACATGACCTGAAACTGAACTCTGGAGGTCAAATCTGCAGAATCGTTTTACCATGATTACAACAAGTTCTCCCATTCATTTGCTCCAGAGAATGAGACTGTAGTCGATTACAGTTGTCACACACCAAGGACTGCTGTAATGATGATGGGAATTAAATTGTCTCTTCGCCTTTGTGTCATTAGCGTGTGTAATCTGACAAATTAGCCGTTTTGAGGATCTCTTTTTCATTTGCTTCATTGGAAATGCTTATATACTGTTTGGCTTCTTACCTTTTGCACCATTTAAAGTTAGATGCTTTTATAATATACCCTGCAATTATTACTTGTATTGCGAGTTGCAGTGAAAACCTGTTTCATTCATGACGTAGGGAAATTGAGGTCAGAATATTTTAATTAGTAAAATTAAAATTAAAAGTTAAATTTTGGTTTCAGTGAAAAATGTTCTACAATAAATTTTGTTTAATTTTGTATTGAACGAAAACATTTCAGTTCTTAATGGAAAATGAACAGGAACAATTTTAAAATTTGTTTTGTTAGTGACAGTTAACAATGGCTTAAGAGCTTTGTCACATGGTACATGTTATTAGCCTTGCCAGCAAGAAGAATTCTTGTAAATTTTGTTCACAAACTCACTTTCAAGCACTTTCAGCAACATCCATCCCAGATGATGTGTAGAGCTCACTTCATATCAATCTGGTGAGAGTCAGGTTACACTGATATTGGGCTCTGTCTGCAAATAATAAACAATAGCACAGCTCATGCATTGCCATTTCGCTCTCTTCCTCCACCTGTCAATTGTTGGTGTGTCTTCGTTGCTATAATAGCACTTTTTTTGCTATTCCTCACATTTCTCCTAACATGTGTATTCACATCACAAGTTTTTGTTTTTTTAATAGAAAATTAATGTTGTACCTCTTTGGACCTTTACAAACCTATTCTGAAATACATTGGATTCTTGTATTAGTTAATCCTTTTTTTTTGTTGTCCTTTTTAAAAACACATTAATACTTTATATACTCTAATACAAATTTTTCCTTTTTTTTTAAATTTCTAGTCTAAGCCTTTTACACCTTTGTGTTGCTGTGGCTGGGTGTGTTTCTCTTGCCCTTTTAATCTGATCTTTACGCCACAAAACTATGAACCTCTCCTACAGATTGTGGACGCCCTTGTGCATTCCTCCACTAGGTTAACCCTGTGTACAGCTCTTCAGATGGAGAATCATTTTCACTCCCCCCTCCACTGGTCTCCCCCTCCTATCCTCCTCTGGTCTCCCACCTCCACTGGTCTCCCCCTCTTCGCACACTCGACATAAAAAACTGAAAATCCCATTCTGTCCATGACATTCTGCGTGTGTAGCAAAAACATATGAACACTATACATCAAAGTGTGGCGGAGTGCACTGGAGAGCAGCAGTCTGGAGTCATAATAAGCAATAGCAGGGAATATGGGCGCCATCAAATTTATCTTATTACCATAGAGGGACCATCGAGCTGACTGTGTAATATGTCTCACCACTTTGTATTAGCAATTAATTTGAGCTGGTGTTTAATTGGCTGGTGTGTTTTAAAGCCCTTTTTCTTCTTCTCTAAATGTTGTTTTTTGTCTCCTTGCAGGCTCTACATACAGCGTGCTCTCAACAATGCCCTCGGACTCAGAAAGCAGCAGTTCACTCAGTAGTGTTGGTACGTATTATGATGGAGTACATTTGGATATTTAGTTATTTTTAGTGTTTTGAAAGTGATAGGACGAGGTCTGTCACAATAACACATTTTAAAATATGTTTTACTATACTATACTTTTTTTTTTTTTTTTTTTTGAGCCAATACCTATATCCAATATTTGGCCTACTGCTGTTTTTTGCATTTAAATATAGCATGGCCACAAATTTATATTAAGGATGCATTGTGTAACTTTTCTGGTGGAAGGACTGTCAAATGCTGTGATTGCTTTGCTTGGAATCATCAACCAAAAAGTTACATAGTGCGCTTTCATGTTAAAGTAACAGTCACAAATGAACTTTTCACGTTTGTAAAAATAGTAACAACATTTTAGTGGGATATAAAGTAATTTGTTTAATATAGTTGTAATCTTTATGCAACAATACAGCCATATAATGCTTTTCTATTTCCATTTTGACTCTTTAGCCTGTTTAAAAAGGGCGCTCAGAGACTATAGCAACGTGAAAACATATCAGTATTGAATAGCAGTACTGATATTGGCTGATGGCAATATGGACAATTTGGTGAAATTAAACTACTGTATTTCATCCAACTGACTCAATAATGCAAGATAATCCCAGTAAACCTATTTTTAAATATACTATATCATTAAAAGGCTTGTGCCCCATCAAATAACAGATTGAACCAATAATTGGCCTCAGAAGTCACTTATTTAAACTTACAGCACAAATCTTATTGTACAACAAAAATCAATAGCAACAACAAAAAATAATCTCCCAATTTTTGCAAAGAAAATTTACACACAATAAATATAGAACCCCAAAATGTATTGATCCAGCTTTAATTTCTTGAACGATATAGTAATTATCCTGACAAGCCTAGTACCGCCTACTATTGTCTACTATTGTAATTTTCTAGTAGTTACAATAATATTTTCTTGGGGATCTACTATGTAACAACAGAGCCCAACCCTTGCTCTCTCTTTGTCTCGTGGAGGAAGTTTGCGGCACTGTGTGTGTCTTAGCTTTGACTCAGTTCCAAATGACTCAGCTGTGTTACATAAAGCTCCAAAAGAGCCAAATATTGAGCCAAAGATGAACATAATCCCAGATTTCCTGCTCCTGTCCCTGCCATCCGTGTCCTTTTTAGTCAAGAAAACATTTCCCTGAGATGATGGCGTCTTTTGAAATCTGAAGCCTTTTAACATAAGTCTCTTTAAAGGGCCCGTCTTACACTATTTTCTGATCTATATTATAATGTTGCTTCCTCAACAGACCTGGAGTTGTATTTTGTTTTGTTCACATGTTTAACACAAAACACTACATAGTTAGTGTTCTTCTCTTGAACAGAAAACACTTGCCGTTAACTTGAAAACTACCCCTACATGACATCACAAGGTGGAACAGAGCATTTTGAGCTTTGGAGGTATAGACAGACTAATAATGCAGGATTACACAAGCATATGAATGAAACAAAACACAATTCCAGGTATGTTTTTGATTAGGGAACAGCATTATAAAAAGGGTAAATGCTCACAGGAGTCAAATTTGCTTAATATAGTATCAAATAAACACCAAGAAACGGTGGATTAGTGTTTAAAATGTCCCAGATCTTAAGACAGCAAAATGTGACTGAACTGGGATGATTAATTGAAAACAAAATAGGCCAAGCAAATATAGACCAGACCACACACTGATGTAATTTCTCAAGTTTGTGGTGTCATCTCTTCTAATCGCAATGGAATTCTAGTCTTATTCAAACTTTTAAGACGATAAAAACTAAGTGAAAATCTTTATGAATTGTTGTTGTTGATGGTACCTGAACTACTGAGTCACAAGTATATTTTTTTATTCTAGATTCATTACATTGATTGTATTGTACTTGAACATCTGATGCAATGTGCAGTAGTTTCATTAGTGGGATACATGCTGATTGTAATGGTGCTCTGAAGGGTGAGTGACTTAACGTGGAGAGAAAGGGAGAAGAGACTCAGAACATAAAAAAAAAGGGAAACATGTTAACACGTTTTTGGCGTGCATTACATTTTCAAAACAATGAAAGGTAACAGTTATGTAAATGTTATTTGTAGAAGTAAAATATCTTCTAACATAACTAATTAAACAATATTAACTAGTAAAGAAATACTGGAACCATTTTTTAATTGAGCTTACGTCAAAATGGCACATATGTTCATAATAAGACAGCAGTAATTGTCAGTATAGTTATAACATATGACTAGTTTACTCATATCATACAGCTCGACTTTTTAATGATACAAACTCCCCATCTATTTTAGGTTCGCCAGTTAACGGTGAAGCATCGTCTCCGCCTCCCGCCATAAACGACAACCGGCCGTCTGCGGACAGCCTGGACCCCATCCTGACCCAGCTGAGGCAGGTGACCAGGGAGAGGGATGAGCTCCGCAAGCGCCTGGCCCTGGCATCGCCCGGGACCACCTTCGACGACTGCAGGTGCCAGCCTTTAATTAGATCTGTCCTCTAACAAACTGTCTGCTTATATCAGTGTAGTTTTTTATGCCTGACGGGACCTACAAGTCACTTAAGGATGACTTAAATTATTACTATGAAGTCTTAATTGTTTAAAAAATAACAATGTTTGTAATTCATACGTTTTCTTTACACATGTGGGGATTTTTTGGTAAATTTTTGTAATGCGATTTCAGCTGTAGAGGGCAGATTTTTTTTTTGTTTTTTTGTTAGTTTTTTTCATTCACACATGTTTAACTTACAAATCCTGCACATTTAGGCGGAGTTCTTCTCTCAAATAGAAAACACACTATTCCACTTTGTGCTGTCATGTGGTAATACAGGAAGTGCTCAACAATGTTTTTAAACTCTATACACTGTCACCAGAATCATTTGGGTCATTTCAGACATAGAATTGTCAATTTCTACAGAACTAAAGGACAACTGCTTCATCACATCACAGAGTGGAACAGAGGACTTTGAGCTTTAGAGATGTAAACAGACTAACAATAAAGGTTTACTCAAACAACAACAAGTGTGAGTGAAACAAAACACAACTCCAGGTATGTTTTTGATGAGTTTACAACATTGACATGACTTTCAGCTTACAAGAGTCAATTTTGTGTAATATAGGACCTTAAATAATGATAAAAAGATCTAAACTATGAGCTTTGCAAGTTTTATAAGACTCCATGCAGTCTAGATATTAAGATATCCGCTGAGGACATAATTCATCTTTAATAATTGCAGTCTTTGCGATCTGCTAATTGCAACCATTCAAATTACGTTTCATCTTACATTAATCTTTTTCCTTACACTGGAATAAATGTCCTCTATCCTTTCCTTGGGCATGATATAAATAAAAGGGGTATTCTCATATTTGTGCTAATCCTTTTACTTGCTGTTATCTATTCACTATTTGGTCAGTCAAACGTGATAAATCTGAATAACCTATGGATACTTTGCAGTGACATCGCGTCGGGGGTGTTCTACATGTGTATTGTGTATTGGCAAAACGTTCTCTAGTTACCATGGTGACACAATGCACACATTAGTAAACACTGCCAAAAAGTTTTTTTAGATTCTCTGAAAACTTCAGAAAAAATACGAAATGGATCGAAACAGGTCATTTTAGTGTTCATGATGCGTTTAGGAGTTTGATATTAACAAAAAGGTGAGTGATTAACTGAAAAATAATATAATGTTATTGGAGAGTGACTTGTTTAACAGCACAAATCCACTCATCTGTTGTAATTCTAACTAAATCAGTCTTTTTGGTCAGAGTTGTTAAAATAAAAGTCAGATTAAAATATAACAAAGCCTCAGACAGAGCACGCCTACTGTTAGCACCACACCCACAGGGAATGTTGATGACATCTGTCTGCTCAAATACTCCAGTTCTCATTTAACACAACGCTAACAAATCCACCTGAGGAGCTGACACGCTAACAGACACATATGCTGTCTTTGCACCTCACTTTGACAGACTGAAGGTGATAAGTTATAATTAGATTCCTATTAAATGTGTGAACAAGTGAGCTGTGAGATGAGTAGTACTACTTCATAATACTGACTGCTTTTGCTGTCTCCAAAGGCATAGACCTCACTACAGCTAGAGGTGTGCAAAAATATCGATAGTTTAATTTCATGATACAATATCATTATTGTTGGCTGCTATATCAATATATCGTGAAGAGTATTTAACCCACCTGCACCCCTAGGTACATTTTTGTACATCGCAACTTTTCTTTTGTGCATAATAACTTTGGCTATATTGCACCAAACAGCACCAAAATTTGCCAGTTTTTGTATTTTGTGATTGTGACGGAGCCAGTCCGTCTATGATTTTAGGTGGCGTTTCCCCCCCCTACACGTAACCGCGGTCTGCACTGGCGTGCCCGCGCGCACACACGCTGAGTCATCCCGCACACACGAGTTCATTCCCCGTTTCCCCGCTGTTTCATTCATTCACGCCGTATTCACTATTATCGCCTTCTCCCCTCTTTCCTCCGTTACTAATTCGCCAAGGGTGCACACTTGAGCGCGTTAGAGTAATTTATTTCATACTTGTCTCGTACCTGTCCGATGACGCCGTCTCTCTCTCCTTCGACGCGGCGCCTCTGCCAAACCGAGCCTTTATTTCCTGGTAGTTGAAATAGGCGCTGTTCGCGCCGTGGTGCTGACCATGTGACGCGCATTATGTAATACAATTTTCTTTACGTTTTTCAGCTATTATTTTTGACATGTAATGTACATTATTACTGTGTGCTCAACGTAGCATAGACAAGGTAGGTTTATGGTTAAATTGTTTGTCTTTAGAATGATTTTGATATATTGCTCAGTGGGAGGAGTCAGGGGAGTATAAAGGGGAGCCGTTCCTGGCTGTTAATCAGTCTGCCACCGGGTACAGAGCAGGTAACGTCGGTGTGCTGTACAGATTCTTAAAGGGGACAGTTAACGCAGAACTCGACCCTGTTTCTTCAACGTAAATACTTTTTGGATTGTTTTGCTCACTGTAAATATTCTGCACTGTTTTGGGATTTTTGCACTTTGGACACTGGCACAATAAACCACCTGCACTCAGAATCTCAATCTTGCCTAAGTTTTTGATAGAGCCCCGCCACAGTGATGTATTTTAAATTTCTGTGTTTTCTTTCAAGACCGCATTAACTGAATGGTCTATAATCAAAATACTCACACCCGTGGTCCTTCCATTCCCATTGACTCTCATTCAAAATGGCTTTTTTCACTGGCATAACTTTGCCAGTATATTTTTACTTTTTGATGTATTTCTTTGCTTTCTTTTTGATGTATTTCTTTGCTTTCTTTTTGATGTATTTCTTTGCTTTCTTTGTTGCTTTGTTTCTTTCTTTCTTTCTTTCTTTGCTGTTGAAAACCCTTCAAATAGGTTTGAGGTTAAAATGATATGGGTGTGTTCTAGAGGAGCCCCCAGTCTCTGATGATCCCAACACAAACAAATTAAAATTACTTGAAACATATTTTTTTTTTAAATAAATAAAATCATTTTTTTCATGAACATCATTTGAGACTTTTGCTGTCAAAAGGGGTTAAAATTTCAAAATATTATATATTATTTAGTATGTAACTCTACAATTTTGTTGCTTGTTTAAAGGAAAACATATTTATGCAATACATTTGACACATTCACTGTTTTGATAATTAAAATGGTTTATATGAACTGTACAGTAGTTTAACAAAGACTTTTACTATCACAGTTACGATTTTTTTTACAATTACTTTCCTCCACAGGTACATACCTGGACTTCTGTTTGGTTTCATTCACACGTTTGAGTAATCCTTTATTATTAGTCTGTCTACATCTCCAAAGCTCAAAATGCTCTGTTCCACCTTGTGATGTCATATAGGGGTAGTTTTTAATTTAACAGCTACCCTATATAGTTCTCTAGAGATTGTCAATTGCAGAGCTGAAATTATCCAAATGATTCTAGTGAAGGTATATGGATTTTTAAAACACAGTGGAGCACTTCCTGTTTTACCACATGACATCACAAGCTGGAACAAGGTGGAGTGTTTTCAATTTGAGAGAAGAACTCAACCTAATTATGCAGGATTTGTGTGTTAAACATGTGTGAATGAAAGAAAACACAACTCCGGGTATGTTTTTGATGAAGAAACAACATTATAACATACATCAGATAATAGAATAGTAAAATTGTTTTGATGTCACACTATCAAACATGTACAGCATCTTTAAGTTCCTTAACACCTTTTTCTATTTTTCTTTTATTTCCAGGCCAAATTCCAAGCCCAGCCACGACTACGAGCGTCTGAAAAGTCAGTGTATGAGAGCCATGGCCGATCTGCAGTCTCTTCAGAACCAGCACACCAAAACACTCAAGAGATGTGAGGAGGCCGTCAAAGAGGCAGACTTCTATCAGTGAGTAGAAGCTAAAATAAAACTGATAAAGAATTCTGTTTGAGAAATGCAGTTTTGAACACAAAGTCAAATGAGGTGAAAAGCGGGGACTATAAAAAGCATTTATATTGAAATTCAAATGATGAGTAAGAGGCAACTGCTTCTTCTGACAAAACAAAAAATATGTGTAAAAATATTAGCAAATCTTTTACAGTAAAAATGTAAAGTCAATATTACATAAGTACAAAGTAGTGGTCCAAGAATTAGCCAAGTAAGAGAAAAAAGTATTTGGAAATCTTATAGAGTAACTGTCAACATGTAATATCTGATTTATAATTTCACAACATTAATGTCTAAAATGAGACTAACTTAAAGGTGCACTGTGTAATATTTCTAGTCCAGGGTCCACAACCTGCTTATCTCCATGGAAATGTTATTGCTTTGTCTAGAATGTTCCACAGTATAGATTAAACTTGCCTATTAGGAGAGAGACAATCAGGTTACAGCACTATGCTACATTACAGTTCAGATCTGTGGAGAGTCGTCCTTATTCACAGAAGGAATTATTGTATTTTTAAGCAACAGAAACGCCCGTAATGAATAAATGCTAGATGGATCTGTTTAATGTTGTAACATGGAACATTCCAGGCAAAGCAATAACATCTCCATGGAGACAAGTCAGTGGTGAAGTTGCACAGTGAAACTTTAAATTCATCTAAAGGAGCAGTGCAAGAAACGCATATCTTCAAATCATTTCATATTGTCAGAAAGCTTTTGTCACTTGTAGACTTACTCACACTGGGAGAGGCAACCAAACTTTGATTGAAGTAAGAGTACTGTTACTTCAATAAAAATATTACTCAAAGGAGTAAAAGTCTGCTGCCAGAAAATTACAATTTATTTTTAAAAATTAAGTTAGTTTAAAGAGTACTATATCCACCTCAGTCAGTAAATAAATACTTGTACATCCACAGATACCTCATGTAGCTGTCTTCAAATAAGGGATGAATACGATGTCCTTCCAAAAGCGTTTTAAAGGCTTTAAAGTACAGTCATTTGTATAATTGAATCACCCAGAACAATTGTAAAGCGTAGCCTGGAGGGGTCCAACGGGCAGTGACGAGATTATCTGTCCTGACAATAGCATTTCACAGGGCTCTAAAAAGTATTAAAAAGATATTCTATGAAATTATTACATCTGATTCATGGAAATTCAATTCAGTCTCTTAATTTAATTGTACCCAGTCCTGATATGAACCTGGATCTTCTAGTTCAGGGGTCAATGTTCTGTTTATTTAACAAGATAAGCGAGAAAAATCCAAAGACAAATGGTATTAAAATTATGAAAAAAGACCCAAGTGAAATCATGGCTAAAGGTCCTATATTACGCAAAATGTACTCTAGTGAGATTCAAGCCATGTTAGAATGTTGTTACCTCCTCAAAAACATCATTAGTCATCTACATCTCCAAAGCTCATAATGCTCTGTTTCACCTTGAGATGTCATGTAGTGGTAGTTTTCAGCTTCCTTTTACCTTTTTTCAGCAGAGATTGGTATTTCCAGTTCATAGGACTGTATTTGACATGTAAAGGGTATCGAGTCTTGGTCACTTACAGTTATCTGTTTTTCAAGATTGGAAACCTAAATCTTAGGTGTCTTAACTAGCGATTGACTGATATGCAATTTTTCACAGATTGTTTAGAATCCAGAAGAACCGATGACCAATGACATTGGCTGATATTTTTTGGGCCGATATATAATAATTTTGAACATCCATAGTCCAGTCCAGTGTAGTCACATTTTGCAGTTTCTTCTTTGAACTTAAGTATTCAAATAAAGCTTCATGTATATATTTTTCATATACCATATTTTCCACACTAATGCGCGCTTATAAGCCCTATACACGAATCCACTCGGGTGTCCCAGCACGACTTCAGTAAACTACAAAGCCACACCACCCGCAGTGCACGCAAACACACACGGAACAGACAGCGATCGCGTAGCGACAAACACCTGCAGCCACACTCATCACTCCACGAGGACGTGGAACGGAGGAACGAACCGAAAAAGCGAGTGCAATGTGCCACTTCTAGCCACAACTGAACAACTGAGTCACTGCGAACATGCCAACAATCCAGCGATCCCAGACAGCACCCTCCCTACACGCCACAACTGAACAAAGCCCAGAGTCACCGTGAATGTGCCAAACAAAGTCCAACTGAGCCATCTAACTGTTGTGTTTAGTTTAAAGTCCAGTGTGGTTTATTTGTGAAAAAAGTTCGAAAATAGACCATTCAAGGACAGTGTGCCTTATAATCCAGAGCGCCTGATAGTGCAGAAAATACGGTATATATTTATTTTTCATGCACATTCAGACTGCTCGTTGGACCAAACTAAATATTGGTCTGTACTAGTAATTAATAGCCGATAGGTGATACGCTAAAAGTGCAAATATCAGCCCTATCTCTAACAGTCATAACAGTTTTTCTTGATCTGTCCTTCACAGCATGCTTCACAGTCGTGTCCTGAGTGAGCAGTCTCAGATGAAGGAGGAGATGGAGAGTCTGAGGAGGGACAACACTGCGCTGGTCCGAGAGCACAACCACGTGAAGCAGAACTGCGAGGAGCTCAAGAGGCTCCACGGACAGGACCAGAAGGAACTGGCAGACCTCAGGGTCCAGCAGCAGCAGGTACCACCATCACCAGTACAAGCTAAACTCTCACCTATGTTATCATCCTGTATTAGGTGAAATTGATTCTTGTGAGCTTTAAGCTATGTTAGAATGTTGTTATTTCCTCAAAAACATAATGGAGTTGTGTGTTTCATTCACACATGATTGAGTAACAGCTCCTTTTACATTTTATTTAGTAGAGACTGGCAATTTCAGGGTTGAAATTATCCAAATGAGTCAAGTGAAGGTGTATGTAGTTTAAAAACACAGTGGATACTTGTAATACTTCCTTTTTACAACATGACACCACAAGGTGGAACAGTGTTTTCTGTTTGAGAGAAGAACTCAGCCTAAATATGCAGGATTTGTGTGTCAAACATGTGTAAATGGAACAAAGCTCAACTGCCAGGTATGTTTTTGATGAAGAAATAACATTATAATATAGATCAGAAAACAGCATTGTCATAGATTTCTGTTGAACTGTTATTTAATTCCTTTTATAAATACACTCCTGTGATAATAATTTCAGTTTTATTTGAATCCTCCTTTTTAGTTTATGATAATATTATAACCAAAAGGCCCCACCATAACTAATGAGCTTTTAGTTCATTTTGACTCCTTTATTTAAGAGTATGCAGTGCTCTGACCTGTGCAGTGTCGTGTTGTGATGACCTTAGAAACACTGCAGTAGCTTGGAGCAGAGGGCAGCCAAGCACAAGGAAATGCACACGGAGCCATTCTGAAAAGGGCAGGCGCAGAAGAATAGGGCATCTACGCGGGCAAAGGGCACCGCCACCCAAACCGTGTAGCGCCATGACGACCAGAGCCAGCAGAATACGCTGTGCAGACAAGGTCAAAAGTGCCCCCGGTGAAAGCTACTGTTTGGGGGAGTAGTTAGAATTTATCAGCAAGAAGTGAAGAGGAAATTCACGTTATACCAAGGTGATTTCACGGGCGGGAATCATGAGGTTCCCTTACGATTCAATACACGATACTTGGCTCATACGATATTGTCACGATATAACAATACATGTGATAATCAATAGCAATCATTTTTCTTTGTTAAAGGTGTGCTGTGTAACTTTTTTGGAATGGGGCTGCTACCTGAGAAGTCATCACTGAGATAGTATTTCTTTAGCTGGAATGTTTCACAATGCAGTCGTCCCTTGCTATATCGCAGTTCACCTTTCGCGATCTCGCTGTTTTAGTGCAATTTTGTGTGTTTTTTTTGTTTGTTTTTTACAGTGTATGAACGTGTATTGTGTTCCTCCCCCTGTGTCCTGATTGGCTGTGGACCATTATCAATTAGTCTCCTCCGTGCCGTGTCTCCTGTACAGTACAGAATGCGTTCAGCTGCCAAATTTACATTAATGTTCGATCGATAGCAGTGTGATCCTGAAAAAAGGTTTTCTTCCCGACAAAACCCACAATGTTGACGAAACTTTCTGCACCGACAAAGGCTCCGGCGGGTGCACCCAAAAGGCAGAGGAAAATGCTAACCATCACACAAAAAGTTGGACTTCTGGACACCCTGATGGAAGGTAGAAGTTACGTAGCTGTAGCAGAGTCTTGCCCTGGGTCAGGTACAGGCAAATAGTTGCTGAAATGGGCGGGTTTTAACGCTCTGGAATTTTACGAGTGGGTATGCGGGCTCGTAGTGCCGGGTAGACCTCTGCGCTGGAACACCAGTCCGTTCTACAGCGGTTACCCCAGAGCCCATCCTGAGAGTGAGTCCTGGTTCAGTCCTGGTTCAGTCCTGGTTCAGTCCTGGTTCAGTCCTGGTTCAGTCCTGGTTCAGTCCTGGTTCAGTCCTGGTTCAGTCCTGGTTTACTCCTGATTTACTCCTGGTTTACTCCTGGTTTACTCCTGGTTTACTCCTGATTTAGTACTGATTTAGTACTGATTTAGTACTGTTTTAGTCCTACTTCAGTCCTGGTTTAGTCCTCCTCTTCAGTCCTGGAATCAGTCCTAGCTTAGTCTTGGTTCAGTCCATGGCGAATGTGGGTCGGGTTAACGGGCCGGTGCGGTGCTGTACTGCGCGGATGCGGGCAGGTGCGGGTCTACAAAAATGGACCCGTGCAGGACTCTGCGTTGTAGGGCTCCATTACGGAAAAAATTAATCTTCGGTTCGTTACATAAATAGGAAAATATCATAAGGACAACAGCAGCAAGAAGTTTTAAGAAGTATGCAAAAAGTGTTGTAACTGTCCTGTCTGAGAAATGTGTATAAAGTGTGTGGTGAGGGGTTTTACAGACTTAAAACAGATATAACAATTGTAAAATATAAAGTTGATACTTCGCGGATTTTACCTATCGCTATTTTTTGAACATAACCCCCGTGATAAACGAAGGACCACTGTAAGGCATTATATCTGTCTATCTAACTTTTATTAAAATGCAGGTGATTTTATTGCTGAAAAATACCTGGAAAAGCTGTTTGCGGGTTAGCCTCTCCACAGATCTGACCTGTAACTTGGCCTTGTGGTATCATCTGCTTTTTACCATAAAGATAGAAGTCTACTGCCATACTGTTAAAGATTCTAGGGCGGCAATGCAAGAACATCTCCTTAGAGACAAGTATAGGCTGCGGATTCTCCACCGGAAAAGTTACACAGTGCACCTTTAAACCACTACATGAGCAAAGTTAATAGGAAACTAAAAAAAATATGTCAAGTGTATTGCATGAACACGTTTTCTTCCATTAATTAGCAAGAAATTTATAAAACTGTCACAAAAAACTGCTAAAAGTCTCCAAAAACTCTCAGTAATATATCGATACAGCAGCCCGTGATTATGATACTATACCACCAAATTTTGTGTCACGATATATCGATATTTCAATGTTTTTGCACACTTCTAGTTTATACCAAGGCAGTGCAGGAAGTAGTGTGTGCACTGTGTAAGTAATCATAGGGGAAATCTCAACCCATTAGTGCCATCTGCTGTACAACTGTTGCAAAGAGCCAAGGAGAGGTGATGAGGTGTTCTTTTAATAGGTTTTTAATGGAGCTAGAGCTAGACTTTCCTACGTGAACAACAAGATGTCTTTTCTGTTTGAAAATTGAATAATTCATCTCTGCATTGTGAGTTTGGTATGAAGTTATAGTCTTAAAGGGCCTATATTACACTATTATCTGATTTGTTATAATGTTGTTTATTCTTCAAAAATACAGCTGGGATTTTGTTTCATTCGCACATGTTTAACACACAAATCCTGCATAGTTAGGCATACTAAATTCTTCTCTCAAACTGTAAACACTCTGTTCCACCTCGTGATGTCATATGGTAATACAGGAAGTGCTTCATTGTGTTTTCAACTTTTTACACCCTTACTAGAATCATAGGCAATTTCAGGGCTGAAATTATCCATTATCCATATTTACTGAACTAAAGGTAAAAGGTACGGTATTTTCCACATTAGGGTGCACTTAAAAGCCTTTAATTTAATCAAAAAACAACTGCGTGCCTTATAATCCAGAGTGCCTTATATTATATGAATTTATTTGGGTGTCTTTGTACGACTTTAGTAAACTACAAAGCCACACCACTTGCAGCACCGTAGTCAGGAGCATCACGGAGTAATACATACTGTGAGTCCTTTTAATATCAAAAAGCCACCTGTCAAGAGTCACTCTTACAACGCCCACTTTAAACTCAAGGCTATTATAAAGTTAAAAGTTGCGTGGGAGTAGTGGATGAGAGAAGGCAAAGACACATTCACCAAGACAGGAATCATCACTGAACTGCCAGGGAACAGTAACGACACTGACTCGGATAATGACGAGAGGGATGCGGGCATGCTGGACGCCGTAATCACCCAACAATTATGAGTTATTGTGAATACACTAACAATTTAGCGCTCTTAGACAGTGTTTTTTTTTTACACGTTACAATTGACCAAAGTTGAGAGTTATTGTGAACGCGTTAAATAAAGTTTGACTGACTTATCTAACTGTTGTGTTTCGTTTAATGTGCCTTATTGTCCGGTGTGGTTTATATGTGAAAAAAGTTCGAAAATAGACCATTCAGTGAGAGTGCCTCTTATAATCCAGAGGGCCCTATAGTGTGGAAAATATGGTAGATGTTAACTTGGAAAAACTACTTCACATCACAAGGTCGAACAGAGCATTTTTAGCTTTGGATTAGTCAAACGTGTGAATGAAACAAAACACAGCTCCAAATATGTTTTTAGTTTGGTAACAACTTTATAACGTGGCTAAAAGCTCACAAGAGGCAATTTTGTGTGAGAGTATAGGACCTTTAAATTCTAGTTTCAAGACTGTTAAGCAGAGAATGGCTTTGTGCTATTTTTGTTGCTGGCTGTTCTGTTGACAGTTAGTGCCTTTTCTGTTTTTGGTTTGATTGTCTGCACTGAATTAAGCACTTTTTTTTTTTTAGGAACATCCGTGTGGTTTTTGGCCTGGAAATCAAAGTGGATGTGTTTAGAGCATCAGTCATAATGAGAGGCACTTTGAGAGACTTAGAAGTGTAGGCTACAATACCGTATCAGATTGGTTTTCGGCAGAATACTTTTAGAGGCAAGTCAAAAAGGTTTCAGTGTAAAGGGCCCGTTTTATGCTATATTCTGATCTATGTTACAATGTTGTTTCCACGTCAAAAACAGACCTAAAATTGTGTTTTGTTTCACATGTTCAACACACAAACCCTGCACATTTAGGCTCTCCTCTTATTCTCTCAGACAGAAAACACGCTGTTCCACTTTGTGATGTCATGTGGTAATACAGGAACTTCATACGCCGCCTTCACTAAAATCATTTGTATCATTTCAGCTATGCAGTTTCTCTACTGAACAAAAGTTAAAGATAACTGTTGAAAAGTACAGGTGCAACAGAGCATTTTGAGCTTTCGAGATGTAGACCGAATAATAATGCAGGATTTCTCAAACATATGTGAATGAAACAAAACAAAACTCTAGGTATGTTTTTGATGGAAGTTCACAAGAGTCAATTTTGCACTATATAGGACCTTTGACAAACAAGCAGTGTTGCGTTATGCATTATAAATGTAACGAATTGCTGTAATGCATTGCTTTTTTCTGTAACGCAGTAATGTAAGGAATTAGGGGAAAAAATGGTAATAGTTTACAAATGTCACTAACACGTGTTACAATGCATTTTTAACCTGGATTGAAGTGGTGGGTTTTTCGTTTTTCTTCATACAAATTTGCTAAAATCACAGCAATATCAGCAGCGGTGAAACACCATCGTTATGGTTCCACATGTCGGGATAGGGCCGTAGGTGCACCTGTGTAAACCGTCGGGTAACTGCAGGTGAAAGAACCTAGTTTAAACCTGGTTTAGACCTAGTTCAGTTCTAGTTTATTCCTGGTTCAGTCCTGGTTTAGCTCTGGTTTAGTCTTGGTTTAGCTCTGGTTTAGTCTTGGTTTAGACCTGGTTTAGTCCTGGTTCAGTTCTGGTTTACTTCTGGTTTAGTCCTGGATTAATCCTGGTTCAACTTTGGTTCAGTTCTGGTTTAGTTCTGGTTCAGTTCTGGTTCAGCTTTGGTTCAGTTCTGGTTTAGTCCTGGTTTAGTCCTGGTTTAGTCTTGATTTAGACCTGGTTTAGTCCTGGTTTAGTCCTGGTTTAGTCCTGGTTTAGTCTTGGTTTAGTCTGGTTTAGTCCTGGTTTAGTCCTGGTTTAGTCCTGGTTTAGTCCTGGTTTACTTCTGGTTTACTTCTGGTTTAGTCCTGGATTAATCCTGGATTAATCCTGGTTCAACTTTGGTTCAGTTCTGGTTTAGTTCTGGTTCAGTTCTGGTTCAGCTTTGGTTCAGTTCTGGTTTAGTCCTGGTTTAGTCCTGGTTTAGTCTTGATTTAGACCTGGTTTAGTCCTGGTTTAGTCCTGGTTTAGTCTTGGTTTAGTCTTGGTTTAGTCTTGGTTTAGTCTTGGTTTAGTCCTGGTTTAGTCCTGGTTTAGTCCTGGTTTAGTCCTCGGTTCAGTCCTCGGTTCAGTCCTGGTTCAGTCCTGGTTCAATCCTGGTTTAGTCCTGGTTCGGTCCATATATGGCACAAAACTTTGGCATCTTCGCTCACTGATTGTTACTTTACAATCAGCGACAGTTATTTTGGTGAGCGTAACTTAAAAGTAATGCAGTAGTCATGTAATGTCTTACATTTTAAATGCATTAATATTGTAATGTAACATATGACTTTGAAATGACAGTAACAAGGCATAAATAACGCATTACAGTTTTGAAGTAACTTGCCCAACAATGCAAACAAGTCCATATTTTGGCTGTAACTTGTGATGGCACCTTCACCAGGTCATGAGGGAGAACGGCTCTTCAGAGGTGCTGAATAAACTGTACGACACTGCCATGGACAAACTGGAGGGGGTGAAGAAGGACTACGACGCTCTGAGCAAACGCTACAGCGAGAAGGTGGCCAATCACAACACGGACCTGTCCCGCCTGGAGCAGCTCGAGGAGGAGAACAGACGCCTCCAGAAACAGATGGATGCCCTGCTCCTTCAGAGGGACTCGGCTATGCACTACCAGCAGCAGTACTCCACATCTATGAGGAGGTGAGGGCAGTTAGTGAGTACGTGTGGGGTGGTAACGGGGTTTTCTATGGTCAAATGTGAGCAAGAAAGAAGCAGGTGGTGGGTAAGTAAGTGGGAATATTTATATTGTCAACGTATGTTCTTATTTGAAGCTAACAGAGGTGGGTGAGTGGTCAAAAATAATACTCAGATAAGAGGAACGTTACTTCAAAATAATCTGACTTTAAGATGTACTATGGAACTTTTTTGTTGGGGTTCCATCAACCGCTTGTATCTATGGAGATGTCATTCCTCTGCCTGGAATGGTTCACAATATGCCATTAAACAGCGCTACCTTACATTTATTCAATTACAGGTGGTTTTATAGCTTAAAATGAGGCTTTCTGACTGTGAGTGGAGTCGTCTATTCACAAATCTGACCTGTAACTTGGTCTCCAAGAAGATAGAAAGTTTTAATTGAACTGTGAAACATTCCAGACAACGCAGTAACATCTCTACGGAGAAAAGCATTTGACGGATCTGCCACTAGAAAAGCTACACAGTGCATCTATTAATAGGGATAGAAAAGGAAGGGAAAAGGGAAAGGAAATAATGTAAGAAATCATATGATTTATTGTGTGCGGATGGCTGTGTGTATAAGAATATCTCTGCATGTGTAACCACTGTAATCCCCTCATATTTTACAGTAATAGTATTAGTTTTACGATCTGCTTGTAGAACAGTATATGAGCACACACCGCAGTGATATTGCTCTCATAAACTCTGTTTTTTATTATTCAGATTTGACTCAGTGCAACAAGAACTGAACAAGTCATCAGCCCAGAACAAAGAACTTCAGCGTGAGATGGAGCGCCTACAGTCTGAAGTCACACGCTACAAGAACCTTCAGCTCAAGTCTGCTAAGGACTGTGAGAAATACAAGGAGGAGAGGGACTCAGTGTTCAATGAGTACCGTTTGATTATGAGCGAGAGGGACCAGGTGATCAAGGAGGTGGACAAGCTGCAGACGGAACTGGAGGCTGCAGAGGCCAGACTCAAGAACACCTCTTCAGAGAGAGTGGTCGCCAGTGAGGAACTCGAGGCTCTCAGACAGGTACTGGGAATATCCCTATTTTACAATATATATGCAGTATTTTTTTGTCACATAAAATGAATATCAATGTAAGAATACATGAAATTTTTTTTTACTAATAATAATCATCACCATAATAAAATTATGAATTAATATTAATGAACCAATCATTTTAAGGTGCAGTTTTAAGGTAAAACCCTTTGTGTTTATATCAGCTTTTACAGCTGCTTTTGGATATAAGGTTCAGCATTGGGAGATATGGCAGAAAACGACAGCATTGCAGTTGGTTATCTGTTCAGTAAAGATGCGGCAAACTCTCATGTGACAAATTGAGATGGAGATTGGACGAAAAAGGGGTGCTGACAAGTTACATTTTTTGAGAAGTTGTAATTCCAAAAAGCAGACAGCAGAAATATAAAATAAAGTGAAACAAAAACGGATGCCAAAATTGTGAACTGAACCAGACAGTTTATTATAAATAATGTCAAAATCTTGTTTTGTCTCATTCTCAAGGGTCCAGCAGTGTTCCCTTGTCATTTGCTTTCTTAGAGTTGTATTTCGACTGATTCAGACATGTTGCAGTATTCTGGCATTGTCGTACTTTCTCACTTTAATTAAAAAAAAGGGAGAAAGTACTCCAGTTCCAACACGACTCCAGCTAAGATGATGATTAAACAAAGCATATTGTTAAAAGCAATAAAACCTTAAAAAAAGAGAGAGAGAAACTTTAAATATATAAAAATGCCCTTGTGTAGTTTATAGCTGAGCTGTATTTCCAAAGGTTAGGCTAATGGGGTCAGGCTGAGTGCTCCACATTCATAGGAGCAGTTCCCAAAAATGACCTGCCCCCATTCTGTCCTCTGACTGGGACACAGCCAGCAAACCAGCCCTCTATTTTGGAGTTTGGAGGGAGTTTTGGGGAAGTAAGGCCCCACATGTTAGTGATGCAATTTCCCAAGAATTAGGTTACAAAAGTCACTCCAAAGTTGGGTAAGCATTATGGTTGTTCAAATGCACTTTTGACAGAGAACAGAGCTTTCAGTTTAAAGGTGCATTGTGCAACTTTTCTGGTAGAGGGTCTGTCACCTGCTTGTCTCCATGGAGATGTTATTGCTTTGCTTGGTATATTCCATGGTGTGACATTAAATATTCATATTAGCATTCATTACAGGTGTTTCTATTGCTCAAAAATGCAATAATTCCTTCTGTGAACAGGGTTGCCTCTCCACAGATCTGACCTGTATGTAGCCAATAGTTGTCTCCCTTGAGACAGATAGGTGTAATCTCCAACTAGACAAAGCAATAACATCTCCATGAAGACAAACAGATGATGGACCCTCCACCAGAAAAGTTGTGCAGTGCACCTTAGGATGGATTAATGAAATGTAAACTTAAAGGTGCTCTATGTAACTTTTTTGGGTGCCTGCAGTCTGCTTCTCTCCATGGAGAAGTTGTGCTCCACGTTATGTTCCACATTACTCTACTGAACACTGCTGTATCACTGTACTGTGGTACATTCCAGGCAAAGTTATTACATCTCCATGGAGATAGACCTTCCACCAGAAACGTTAAATAGAGCAGCTTTGATTGTTTACTTTTGTTGTGTTTTGCTTCCATTTTGGTGTTCTGTTCTTGAATTAATTTAAGATAGCCTTGCATCTGTCAGCATGCCAGGGATGCTGAACAAAAACAGCCTTCCTCACCTCCCCTTTTTGACGAATGTTTCTGAACATCTAGTCCAAAAACAAAATGATTCTAAACTTCAAATGAACACTCACATATCCTCATTTCCACAACACACGACCATGACTCACCATCCCAAACCTCCTGATCCCAAAACCGTCTCATTGTTTTTGGCAGGAGCTGAACTCTTCGCTGGTGGACCGCGACAGGGCCATCTGCGAGAGGAATGAGCTGCTGGAGAAATACTGCCACGAGGTTAAGGACAAAGCAGAGGCCCAGAAGGAGCTGTCCCAGGCCTGTAAGGACATCGAGACTGTGAGGGAGGAGAGGGACGTGGCGCGCAAAGAGAGGACTGAGGCTATCATCCAGAGGGACCAGCTGCTCAGGGAGTACTACCAGGCCAGACAGGTGAGAGGCACTGGTTTACTCTGGGGCTCTCGGTTTCAAGTCCTATCACACTGATCACATTTTATTGTCATTTGGATTAAAACTCTATAACATCTGCACTCTGTTGTTTTCTTTTAATACGAAGACACTGACGTAGCTGACTCAAAATGTGTTTAGTTGATTCGATGTGTATGGAATTTTGTTCATTAAAATTTTATGGATGTGGATAACCAAATCTGGTCTAAAAAATCTGAGGAAAGTTATTACAGAACTAAGACAAAACTAAAAATTTCTCTCAAAATGAACACTGGCAAAGCTGTGGATCTACGATTCCACATATCATCCAAAGGTTAGACGCAGGATAAAAGGCTTTGTAAATCCAGTGGGCTGTAACTCCTTAAACTACATTATGTTAAGCAACTACTGCAAAAAAAAAAAAAAAAAAAAAGTGACTGTAAAACTTGTATTTTACTTTAAAGCAATAATAGGAGGTGCCCGGTAATTAAACTGTAAACAAGAAAACAATTGCTTGATAATGAAAAGATAATTATAGTATCTACCTTCTAATTCTTTAATATTTCTTGACTAAGTTTGTTCTCATACCATTTCTCCTTCTAGAAACAAGACTCAGCTACTCTAGACATGGAGCGAGCCAACAAAGAGATCGAGATGTTGAGGAAGCAGTACGAGGCCATGTCCCAGGAGTTGAAGGAGGCCACGCAGGAGGCAGAGGTCGCCAAGTGCAGACGCGACTGGGCTTTTCAGGAGAGGGACAAGATTGTGGCTGAGAGGGAGAGCATACGGTACGTCATGGAGATTTTCATATATATTTTTGTACTATTAGCTGTAGTGGGGAAAGAAATGTGCTGCTGATTAGTGGACTAAAAAAGGGCCGTGGCAAAAACTCTCTCTTTGTGTGTCTGACCAAAACTGCACTCACAAGACTACACCTGCACGAGGCTGTGGTCTTTTTGTCGTTTAGTGAATTTATCGGTTGTGGATTAAAGGTGTTTGTATTTGTTGTAATCATTTTATTTAGTTTAAAAGGGTTTATATGGGGCAACAGTATTAAGGAGAAATAAGTGAATGAGTTAGCTGAAGAGCTGATATTTTTTGGTATTTATACGTAAAAAGGCAGATTAAACACACGATTCACAAGTTTAATCAGTCTTTTATATAAATACATTGTTTCCTAGTATTTTTTCTACAACTATTTATGCTACTGCGCAGGTGTAGTCTTGCGAGTGCAGTATGGGTCACATAAATAGTGATACGTTATAGTTTTTAGACAACTAATCAACTGGCAGGACATGTCTTTAATCGACCAAGAATTTCTTTGACTACATTACTACAAAATTCTACAAAACAGTGTATTTCTATAAAGACAGTTTAAACTTGTGAATCTTAAATTTGATCTGCCTTTTTACATATAAATACCAAAATATACCATCTTCAGATAGCTCAGTCACCCACTAACTTCTCCCGTCTACTGTTTCATATAAAATCCTTATCAAAATAAAATAATTAGTCCAATACAAATTTTGACTAAGACACCATCAATGGACTAAAGGACTATAGCCTTACTTTGTACACATGATACAGTTCCATATAGAGTAACATTTGTATGCTTTTTGCTCCAGTACTCTGTGTGACAACCTGCGAAGAGAGAGGGACCGGGCTGTGAGCGATCTGGCGGATGCACTTAGGAACCTGGACGACATGAGGAAACAGAAGAACGATGCACTGAGAGAAATGAAGGAACTCAAGTAAGTAGGAGAAGAAGCAACAGCTGTTATACATATTACTATACTTATTTTTTAAAGTTGAAATTGCAGTCAGGATCAGTCCACGTAGGTACTGGGAGGCCTTTCAGTTACAAACAGCAGTGCAAAAGGTTTAGGGATTTGCGTTTTATTTTTGAAGATGTAATTTACGAAAAATATTCAAAATGTTATCTCTAAATTTTGCAGGTAATACTCATGAAGGGGCAAGAAGTAATGATTTTTTTTAATTTTTAGAACACTTGACTGTTGAAAACAAAGGGACAAGCCTCACATGATTTTTTATTTTTGTATTTAGTTATTTATTTTTTGTTAATGAACTTAATCTTTGCGTATGATTCTGTAGCTTCCCAAAGATTCATAAGTGGAGCCTTATAATCCCAGATTGTATCTCTAAAGGCTAATAAGGAAACATCAACTAACACAATACACAATTATTTCAACCAGCAGCATCAGTAATCTAAACCTTATTCATACTCAGTACCTCAATACCTTTTTTAGTACTAGAATGTTATTTTCATACACAAAATAATAGTACTCAAATGCATACTACAACTGTTCCACAAAGCTCAGATTTTGTCCTGTTTATGTGAGGTTTTTTTTAGTATCGCAGTATTAGTAGTATTGCTCAAAAGAGTATCAAGTTTTGATAGTAGATTTAGTAGTAGTATCTGATTTTGGATACTAGCACATAGGGTATCATCGCAGTTTAGGCAGTACTATTACCCTAATAAAACACCTTCTAACATTTTCAGATCCATTTTTTCCATTGCACTACCCCTACACTAGCCTTTCCTCTCCGTACCCAGCCCCGTGCTTTCCTACATCAGCCCGTCTCCAAGCTCTTGTAGTGTGCGTGTGGTCATGTGTAAGCTGTAATATTCTGCCCACGGGGACTACACGAAGCCGAGTTGTTTTCCGGTCTGTTTCCGCATGGTCAGATTAAAAGTGTAATCCCAAAAAGCTCCACTGAATTTGGACACACGGACTCTGGCTGCTCCCTGCCTCCCTGTCCTGAATGCCAACGCTGCTGATTCTAGTGCTGTTAAAGCTCCCTCTGCTGGTGGCTTTGTACATTACAGGTTTTATGATAGTAAACTAAACAGGAGATTAATGATTTGACTTTGCTGCCTCCTCCCTCTTAATTTACGAAGAACAATATATCATATATCATTTGTAATAGCAGGGCCTTGTGTTTATTCATTCGGTAAATGTCAACATTCAGTGAGCAAACAGAAAAAGCCTTTGTTTGTCTAACCTATAATAGAAATTAATGCAAAACAAAACACTTTATTTCCACACAGTTAAACGTAAAAATGGCAGACTTGCTTTGTTTTCCAGCTGTTAAATAGAAAGAAATATTGATCGTGAAATAAGTCTAGACTCTACAGAATGACCAATGAACAGACCAAACAATCAGGCCACAAAAACACTAGAAACCAGTATCTTAAATGTCCTTGGTTACACAAAATGGACTCTTCTGAGATTTAAGACATGCGATAATGTTGTTACCTCCATCAAAAACATACCTGGAGTTGGGTTTTGTTTCATTCACACATTTGAGTAACCCTTATTAATCTATCTAATCTAGTTATTAATCTGTCTACATCTTCAAAGCTCAAAATGCTCTGTTCCACCTTGCGATGGCATGGAGCTGTACTTTTCAAGTTACCAGCTACATTTTACCCTTTGTTCAGCAGAGACTGGCAATTCCAGGGTTGAAACTATCCAAATGATTCTAGTGAAGGTGGAGTTTAAAAAACAGTGGAGCACTTCCTGTATTACCACATGACATCACAAGGTGGAACAGAGTGTTTTCTGTTTGAGAGAAGAGCTCTCTTTTGAGATCACAAACTTGAAAGTACACACAGTTTCATGCCCTCTCTTTTTGCTCTCTCCTCCTCCTCTGTGTGATATAACTGACCTGCTCTGTCCTCTGTGCTCTGTTTATATTGTGTTCAGGGAGAAAATGGACAGCACTCTGGAGAAAGAGGCACGCTTCTGTCAGCTCATGGCTCACAGCTCTCACGACTCGGCCATCGACACTGACTCTCTGGAGTGGGAGACCGAGGTGGTGGAGTTTGAAAAGGACCGGGTACGGACACTGCACACATGAGAACACAGAATCTAACTACTATTGTGTTTTTATCGTCAGTTTTAATACACTTACTTGACAAATTTCCTGCTCATGGTAATAGAAATTAGTGATATTGATAAATACCAATACATTACTGTGCTGTGCACAAATTGTAATTAAATGTCATATTTGTAAAATTGGCAGCATTTTGTTACTTTGCAGCAAATGTCATCAACATTCTCTAAGAAGTGACTCTAACCGGCCAGCTAACCATAACAAACCATAAACACTGCAAACTATCACTTAATTGTGTATAAAATGTACATACTTATAATTTTGGTGTATTTTCCAAATATGAATTTAATATGATCCTTATTTCTACAAATTTTAAGTATTTTGTTTATGCTATAAATCTAATACTTTATTCTCATATGTTAAGCTTTTTTTTAGCTTTGAAAACACATTTTCTAAACTAAGTTCAGTGTTTTTAATGTTTTATAATTATTGTGAAGACATTTGTTAAGTTTTCATTTAAAACTTGCTTTCCAGTATGTTTTTAGTAAAATATGTTCACTAAATTCTTTTTCTGTATAGGAGGACATGGATTTGAAGGCACTTGGGTTCGATATCGCAGAAGGGGTAAATGATCCATATTTACCAGGAGACTGTGGCATATTTGTGACGAGGGTGGACAAAGGAAGTATCGCAGACGGAAGGTTGAGGTGGGCGCTTTATTACTCTCCCTATTTGAATTCACTCAGCAAACTTTTTTCATTAACTTCCTTGTCCCCATTTTCAGAGTGAATGATTGGCTGCTGAAGATTAACGACATGGACCTGACCAATAAGGACAGGAAGCAGGTGGTGAAGGCGGTGCTTACTGGTGGAGGCTTGATCAACATGGTGGTACGACGGAGGAAGTCTCTGGGCGGCAGGCTCGTCACTCCTGTGCACATCAATCTAACGGGACACAAAGGTAATGGGCTCCTGCCTTATACAGACTGCTGTTAAATTATGAATGCGCCTCCACTGAGTTCAGTATTACTTCTCCAGGCATGGGTACAATTAAAGTACTTTGTAATTTAAGAAAAACATAATGATACAATAAACTTCTCTTTCTTTATCAAATATTTACAATTGCACACTGCAAATGGCTGATAAGAAAGAAAAATATATTTGCTTGTATAATTAGTAATTATGTTTTGTTTCTACCTCATCAAGTACACTATAATACACTTTAACATACATGGCACAACATTTAATTGACATTGTACCTAGGGTTAGTACATGTTATACTCCCCAAAAAAGACCTTTTTAGCATTTAACCATATTAAATTGTTGTCCCTTCAACAAATGCATATCTTGAGTATTTTTGGTTCTTCTACACTTCATTAATCCAAAATTGTCTTCTGTGAGCACTCAACAATGTGTATTTTGCCCAAATTGTTATGTCACAGGTAAAAAAAAACTGCTTCATTTGTTTATTTCTCATAGTTCATTCCCTTTGCTGACAGTAGAAGGAGCTCTAACATTTAATACCACATTGAAAACAAATGCAGACATTATTTTAAGTAAATGAAAAAAAGTGAAATACTTAAAGCAAGATTACCAAAAGCATTTTTAAAACAAAATTCAAGTCACAAGAATGCACAATATGTGTGCTGCACAACTTCTCTGGTGGAGGATCTAGTACCTGCTTGTCTCCATGGACATGTTATTGCTTTGCCTGGAATGTTCCATGGTATGACATTAAACATATCCATCTTGCATTTGTTCATTAAATACAATAATTCCTTCTGTGAATAGGGGGCTGGTTTCCACAGATCAAAACTACAATGTAGTGTAGTTCTGTAATCTGCTTGTTTCCCTCATGATGGATAGGTTTAATTTATACTGTGGAACATTCTAGACAAAGCAATAACATCTCCATGGAGACAAGCATGTGGCTGTCCCTCCTCTAGAAATGTTACACAGTGCGCCTTTAAATAAATACCAGTATTGAAAATAATTACACATTCTGAGCCTTAATGCCTTGTTTTCTTTCAGACAGTGGAATAGGTTTGGAGAGTGGAGTGTTTGTTACGGCCGTTGTCCAGGGCAGCCCAGCGGCCAGAGAAGGCTCTTTGACTGTGGGAGACCGTCTGATCGCTGTGAGTCACTGTCTGATACTTTAAACAATCCATTTTACACCAACGTCCAGGACACAAGACTTTACTGCTGCTCGAGTCCATTGACTTTCAAACCCGAGCTGTGCTCCTCTGCTCCAGTTATATGTGACCCGATAACAAATTTAAAATATAGACGTTAAGCGATAATATTGAAACTAAATTATGCCACAGAAGATTAAAACCACAAAAACTATTATACATGTAGAATGTTGTTTAAAATCATGAGCTGCAATAAATAAATAACAGAATGAAAGACTTTAGTGAGTTCAGTAGTTTAGTTTGCATCTGTAATGAGTCATGGATGTTATTCATTCAACCTTTTATGGTTTAAATCTTATTGTATAGCTCAAAAATAACAAAAAATGAACGTACACATGATAAATATTGACCCCAAAGCATTATTGTTCCAGCTTTCATACATACGATAAATGATAAGTCAATATAGTAATTATCGTGACAGATCTCGCTCGGGTCCTGCTCCATTCCCGCTCTAAATCCACCCTGATGAGAAAGGAGTTTGTGTATAGGGAGAGGAATATTGTATTCTACATTTCAGTAAATTCTCAAACTCTCACAGCAGTTCTAAGGGGCAAAACAGAGTAAAATTGGAAGTTCCAAGTAATTTGTAGCTAAAAAAACAATAGTTTGGATAATATTGCTATATAACTGCTTCTTAATGCATTTGGTATGAAAATCTAGCCACTTCCATTTATGCATTATTAAATATTCAAATTTAATTCTCTGAGCTTTTAGCCATATTTCGAATGTTGTTACTCAATCAAAAACATACCCAGCACTGTGTTTTGTTTCATTCACACATGTTTGAGTAACCCTTCGTTATTGGGCTGTCGCCAAAGCTCAAAATGCTCTGTTCCACTTTATGAGGGATGAGGCAGTGTGAGAAAAGAACAGTCTAAACATGCAGGATTTGTGTTAAAGAATAGCACAATATATGCTCTTTAATTTTTTATTATCATCAAATACAAATAATCACGTTTTTGTTTATTCCCTAAAAATAGTTCCCTAAAAATGCAAGACAAAAATTAAACAATGGTTAAGGTGGATGCATTTTTAAAAATAATAATTTAAAACTTTCAAAACCTTATTACATTCAGGACATACGAAGCCACAGTTGTCCTTTTCCAGATACTGAAATAGAATCTTATCTTATCAGGCCTTGTAGCTCTTAAGCACAGCATTGTATCAGGTTTTATATGAATTAGTAAATCCTCATTTGTGTTGTGCTCTTAAATATGCATGTGAAGCCATTAAAGTAGCAGTAGCAGTTCATCTTTTTCTCCATAATGCCATATATACTCTAGTAGTGTTGTAATGATACAACATTACATTTCAAATTCTATTTCAACACTAAGAAACAAAAACACTCTTTTTTACACAATAGAATGTGATATTCAACATTTAATATTAAAATTAATATATAATATATATCTTTTACATTATAACTGATACCGCTCAAGATCATTCTAAATCTATTTACGAAAGGTTCATTTCGGTCCTGTGAATCTGGCTTTTTAGATTTAATACTTGCTCAAATGAGGATCTAGTTTCGATACTAGTTCTAGTATTGATTACTATCTTGATTTTCAATACATTTGAGAACCCTATATATGTGGTTTTGTAAAATACCTCAACTAAAAAACAGGCTTTTTGTCCCATAAAATACTGAATACTTCACCACCATTATAACCATCCTGCCCTAGAATTCCCCTAGCCATACATTGCACCTTACAAACACTTATGTTGCTGTCATTTTTATGTTTTGGTGTCACCTATGTTGTCCTCCCATGAGCCGTTATTGTAATAGGTCCACACTATATAGAGTCCATATATGTGGCAGGAGAGGGACATAAAGATGATAAACACGGGGCAGTCGCAGTAGCGTTGGTGGTGTTGAAGGCCCTGTCTCACTGGTCTGTGTTCACTCTGTGTCAGATAAACGGCATCGCTCTAGACAACAAATCTGTGACGGAGTGTGAGGCTCTGCTGAGGAGCTGCCGGGACTCACTCTCACTCTCTCTCATGAAGGTAACAACAACTACACTATATTTAGAAGCAGGGTTTTGGTAGAAAAACACATTTCAGCTTACATGGATTCCAGATGTTAGCCAAAACATCTTGATTTTAAAATCATTATCTAAATCACTTCTTCTGAAAGTTTTGTTGTTGTTTTTTTTTTTTACCATGGATCACTTGATATGGTTGTATTACTCCAAGGCAGGGGTGTCACCAGAGATTTTTGAGCTATGGGGGGGGTGCTAAACTCTTCAATTGGAATGCATACTTAGGAGGCTGCATCTCATTTCTCTTTCCTCGCTTCCTTCTCATTGATTCCTCTCCTCAATTCTCAGTTTTTGAGCTGTCAATCAAATGTATCATTTTAAGTCGTGTCCCAAAAAAAAAACACGGAACGAAGGAGAAAACATAAGGGAGCCTTCAGGAGGCAGACATCAGAGAAAAGAATTCAACTTTTTTGGTCTCAGTGAGGAGTTTATATCCTAGCAGGACGTCCTCACCCCTGCAGAAATGAGGAGAGAAATCACGGATAAGAAAGCGAGGAAAGAGAAATGAGATGCGGCCTTAGCTGTTCACTTAGAGTCTTTTATAGATGTGAGAGCACCCCCAACCCTGCCATGTTTGCTTTACTGTTTTAAAAGTTTAAATGTAGTCAGCCCCTGTAGTGATTTATTATATGTAATACTCAAATTATTTTTTATTGTAGTCTTGTAATGGTTAGTTGCTTTCCCATCTGGGTAGAAGACAGAAAAGGGACTTTTTTTGTACCATTTATAAGGAATTTGTAGACTGGTGTTGCCTTCTTCAATGGCACTGCTCAGGAACACCTAGATGGAGAGTTTCTGTCTGTTTTTCATTTTTCCCATTCATATTTTGGTACCTGAAAACACACAGCTCTTACACTCACTGGAATGAAACTGGGTACCTTCTTGCTTTTGGGCAGGAATGCTAACCACTGTGCCACTGTGCCATAAATTACATGCAAAATACATTTCCCCCACAGATGTTGAAGTACATATATTAAAGCCTCTAAAGCCATAATCACATAGGATTAGTTTATATAGGGACATATGTATAAACAGGACTTAAAAGAGTATTTTAGGTACTAGAAAGGTTTAGGTAAATAATATTTTTTCCTAATATTATTACAATTTGCTTATTTCAAACAACAGCTTGGAGTCACCACTAGGATAATAATTATTATTACATTTTACTATGTAATGATGCCTATATCTAAACATATTCATAAAACACAACATAATATAAATTCCATGTCCAAACTAAATCTGACAATTAACAATTGTCACATATTACTAGCTGCCATATTTACAGCTGCCAAAAAAATGGTAATATGCCAGTGGAAATCAGTTCAACCTCTGACTGTGAGAGAATGGCTACTATCTTTCAGAGAAATCGTTCAACTGGAGCTTTCTGCTGCTCAAATGCACGGAGCAAAAACCAAAAACATTTCTTGCTGGTCCAATCTGTTGATCAAACTGAGATCTGAATCTATTGTGTAATTGTTACCTGGAGATTTTTCATTATAATATATGTTCTTAGAATGTACACAATATGTATACTTTCAGTTAACTTTCTATATATGGTACATAACAAGTATGTATAACGCCATTTCTGCTGATGTCTTTTGACGGAGGAAATTTGCTGTGTTTTGTATAGAGGGAATATAAACCTGGATATGTGTTTGTTTGTTTTTTTGTGTGTGTGTCGGTGTGTGTGTGTACGTGAATGTGTATATACATGTGTATGTATATATAACATATATACTATAATACGTGTATATGGGTATGTGTGTTTATTTAGATGCTGTATATATGTATTATATATGTATATGTGTGTGTACATATGTATGTTGATGCCCATCAATAGGGAGTTTAAGGGTGGGGGGGTAAAAGGGAGAAAAATGCAATGCTAACTGTAGTATGTAAAACTGCAAATAATAACACTTGAATAAAAAAATTTGATCACAAAAAAACATAATATAAATTCATTCTTTTATTTGTTGTACTTTTGTCCTCCAGTTTTTCCCACACAGTACATCGGGTCAGAACCTCTTCGAGAGTTTACGTGACGACAAATCCAACGGCCGTCTGGCGCTTGTCCGAGCTCCACTCCCGAAACAGCCGCAACCTCCGCCATAACAGCTCCACCCAGACAGACATCTACTGCCCCGACCTGGGCTGCAGCAGCACGGGCAGCATCTCCGGAGACAGGAGGAAACTCAATGAAGATATGTACGGAGATCTCACCAAACCCTTCTCCACCGGCTCCCTCCACGCCACCAGCCTGGGCACCGGACGCTATGGCCCCAGTGCTTTCCAGGAGTGTTGCAAATACTCAAAAGCCCCTTCGTCATTACCGTACGATCCAGTTTCCTCATCAGATTGCATGGATACATCACTAGAGAAGAAGCATACAGGTGGAACGTGGCCCAAAATGGTGGTAGGCGGCATGTCAGGAGCAAGAGAAAGCCCACAAACCCAGCTTTCTGTTTACAAGCAGAGGATGTCCATTTTTGACCCAGACACGTTCAAAAAGCCCGAAAGCCTGGCGAAAATGGAGTACATGGCGGCCAATCAGATCGCGGCGGCGGTAGCGTCGCACTCCCCCCAGCCATCCAAAACAGACTCCCTCTCTTCTTCGTCTACACCCACGCCCCCCACCCCCCCGGCACGCAGCGACTCTTTCAAGTTCAAACACAAGCACCAGAGCAGCTCCGCCTCCGACTGCACCATAACTTCCGACGGCAAGGGGGACGTAGCCATGGCGACGGCGGGGGACAGGGCGGACAGGGAGAGGGACAGGAACGGAAACCACTACTTCCTGGAAGGCAAGGTTCTCACGTCGCGGAAGTCGTGCGACGAGGATATAGGCAGGACGAGGGGGGAGGAGCCAGAGGTGAAGAGGCCACGCCCCAAATCGGCCCCCGCACTCAGACGGAGGATGACGCCGCAGACGATTACGCTGCCAACTTTCCAGGTGAAACACAAAATCTTCTCTCAAACTGAAAACACTGTCTTCCTCCTTGTGATTTCATTGAGTGAAGACAGGAAATAACCCACTGTGTTTTTAAACTCCATACATCTTCATTATAATAATTTTGATCATTCATTTTAGCCCTGCCTAACTTTTAAGATTTTATGGTTTTAGACTCATTGAAACAGCTTTACTTCTTGAAGATATTATAGACATTCTGTAATAATCTCAACTGTCTTATATCTATTGAGGCAATACATATAAGACTAATACAAATCCAATCTTTACCTTGCAAAAAAGGCAAAGAGCAGTCACATTATCAACTTACAATGAACCAACCAATGCATTATTTATAAACCTTCAAACTCTGAAATTTTACGATTTAGGCGACCTTTGCACTTTGAAAATCACGTTCAAAAACAATCTGTTGTCAAAATCATTAGAGAATATGTTCAAAATCTGAAATAGCCAATATGAGCTCAGAGGTATCAAAAAGAAAATCAGAACACACATTATGAAATTTTGTATATCTCTTAAAGGGGTGGAGCTCTGGAACAACTGTACAGAAAACCTAAAATTGTGCATCACTGTCTTCCAGTTTATAAAGAAGTTTAAATGTTTAACTCTGGGCAGATACATGAATTATGATACTTAGTTTGTGCTGTAGTACTTTGCTGTACTGTTACTGATTTATTTGTTTCCTCTTGCTGTATTTATGAATATGAACTGGTGTCCAGATGACGCTCTGACAAAGGAATAAAGGGTAAAGGAAAAAGCTCAAGCTTCAGCATATTTTAAATATGACTGTATGTAGAATAATGACAGAATATACCTGTGACCGAAAAAAATCAATCAGAAAAGTCAAACAAAAAAAATTTAAAAATAAAGGCAATAAATTAAGGTTATTCTAGTAAATCATAGAGTAAATCAGTTATATTTAAGCTTAAAGTATTTGTTAAAGCTGGTGAAACCTTTACTGAAAACTGCTAATTACTTCTTGCAGTTATATTTTGACCTGAATATAATATAATCTTGACATCCCTGCTTTTACCTATGTAGTTCTTGTGTGGTTTACTTTTAATGTGCTGCTAATCTTTTTTTGTCATTCACTTTTTATTGGATTTTCATCTTTTATAAGGACACACATTAAAAATAGACAACATTCAAACAGTAAGAACAAAACAAGACAGTGGGGGTAGATATAAAGACATAACTACGACATACAAAGTTGGGTCTTTTTGTCGTTACATACCTCAAAATGTCAAAATGTTCTGCTAATCTTAATATAAAAGTTGTTGGATTATAAACTGGGAGGTGTTTATTTAAGATGGAAGGTTCAGACATTTCCCATTTAAAGTCCCACAGTACAGCTTTAAAGTTGTGGATTATTAAAAGCCAGACACTTCGGATGGTCCCGGTGGACAGGCCCATCTACAGTGTAATAGGATTGTGAGATGTGTGTGTGTGTGTCTGTGTGTGTCTGCGTCCGTCTCTGTGTGTCTGTAGGTGTGCGTCTGTGTGATCGATGCTCTCCTCCGTACAGCTCCCAGACTCCAGCTCACTCAGGACCTCAGGCTGTGATGGACAGATCTGGCTGCCTCCTCACGCCTCAAGCACAACTTTGAGATTTCTCCATCTGATCTTTCCATAGGGCTGGAGGTCACAGTGTCCCTTATGATTCAATATAATAAATGATACTGGGCTCACGATACGATACTATCCCGATATGGAAATACGTACCATATTCGATATATTGCCGTTTTTTTTAAAAAGAACTCATTTTAGCAACAATATTTCTTTGTTAAACCACTGCTTGTGCAACGTTAATATGAAACACATCTATTTTAATCATCAAAACGGTGAACTTGTCAAGTTTATTGCATAAACAACTTTCCTTCTTTTAAACACGAAACAAAATTGTCCAAATTGACATATCTAGGTCTGTCATAATAACAAATTTGAAGCATTTGGAGTGAGGTGATGAAGGCTGAGGAGCAGGTAAATTGCAGAAACGATAAATTTACGCTATCCCCATTTTTCTTATCTCTCTCAAAAGACCAGATTCCTCTGATAATACAGTGCTGTGTTCTCCATAGGGACATAGTTTCTAAATGTTTCTATGTTTGTGGTCTGTTCCAGAATTATTCCACAGACGAGCACTCACCAGAGCCCAGAGACCTGCTGCGTTCCTCCCCAGGCCGATCCCACAGACACAGCGTGGGCTTCGTACCCACCCTCATTCAACGGGTCCCTACCTCCAAGTAAGTCACCCAATGTATACTATGAATGAAACTGACCTGTGCTTGTGGAGACAATTTTATTAACTGATAAAAAAGATTCCCTGGACTACATTTACAGTGTTAATAAGGAACACATGTATTTTAGTCAAGTTATTTAAGTTGCAAATTTGTTTTAGCTAATTACCAATCTAAAATGCACAAAAGAATTGTCAATTATTGCCATGTAATTTTTACTCTTGTGTCTAATAGAAGGCCCAGTTGATATAAAAATGCAGATAGGGAAAACTTAACTTAAAACATTTAAGTAGAGAAACATGCAGTGTTATCATCCATATTTGATTTAGATTTGATATTTGCTTTCTTTTTGACAATATTTCCCACTCCTATACCAAGTTTTTGTCACATAAGTAGGGATGGGACGAGACCAAATATGATTGCCTGGAAATCTAGAAGGATATCTCAGCCGCTGGTACAGTGATCTGTCTGGATTTTTCCAGGCAACAAATATGAGACTGAATCCATGAAATCAAGGGCAGATTTTAACGTAAATCCTAATATCTAAATTGTCCAATTCTCTTTTAAAGTTTGACATCACAATTTTGTAGTTACCGGTGAGGGCTATTGTTCTCTGCCCGTTTCATCGTCTCTACCATTATTTTTTCCTTGCAAACGACGTGTTTGTAAATTGCTAGTAGTCCCTGCTTTTTGATCTAAATGAGCTCACATTTAGTATATCACATCTAAAGACATATGTTTGCAAAAACTTTCAGTTTTTTGAGATATTCCTTACGGTTTACCCATAGTACACTGGTGTAAAACATTTTAATTTCCTGTTTCTTTGATTCCTTTTCATGGCCACAGGCATTGGTGCAGAGAGCATAAATGCACACGCATATGCTTAAACTGATTGTGCTGAAATCTGATCACTAATGCGTGCTCTCGGCCTGAATATAATGCACTATAAAGCATATGAAAAGTGTACTCCATAGCCCCCCTAGTATACAAATGCAAATGATCCATTAAAAGTAAAAGCATTTTTTTCACAGAATTTTTTTAAACATATATTATTACTATTTCTATTTCCACCAATTATTTAAAAATCAGATGACTGCAGCTGTTGCTGGCATTAGGGGTGGCACGGTTCACAAAATTCACGGTTCGGTTCGTATTGCGAAACCAACAGCTGAACAGACTTATATTTACCTTCTGTACAGGCTGCCCATAGCAAACACGAGGATTTCAAAAGTCAATTTTTAAGCATTTATTAACAGTCTTTCTGGACCTGGGCTCTTTCACACGACCCAGAACTGCCCCAGGAAGAAACGCACAAATACAACCAAAGATTCATGTTCTCTGTGTATTTTGATGGGGACACACGCGTACGCTCGCGTAGAGCGTCAAAAAATAGAATGGATCTTATTTTCTGAAATCTACACGCACAAGATGCGCTGCTCCATGCACGCGCCTAGCGCATACAATGGAGCTGCCCTCATTCACTTTCCATGCATTCTAAAAGTTACGTGTACAAAAGCTCCAATTTTTTCGCTCGCGTAGGGCGATAACGCGCACAGTCAAGTTTGATCGGCTTTCCTATTCACAAACACAGAGCCATTGCTGCACGTGTACATCCTGCTGCAGCTGTCGGTGGAGCCGCCTTTGCGTTGACACGCGGCTGTGGTGCATCTCCCATCTCCGGGTGGCCCACTTCTCTCCTACTTGCCATTTCTACACGTGACACGCAGCACCCACCCTCCACACCTCTTCTTTTGCGCCAAAGCATAACAGGTCACATACGAGCACGAGGGTACAATGCGCAAGCCGGGAACCATGGAAACCATACCGCACACGTCCCGAACCGTGACAAGCAAACCGAACGATTTTTTGTTTTTTTCATGAAGCATGTCACCCCTGGTGGCATGTGTTTTGCATACGAGTTTTGACATCTGAAACCTTAAACATCAGTCAACTATCACAGACATTTAAGAGAATAGAGAACAAGAGCACATGTTAATTTTTGTACATTTTGTTTTATTTTTTTATTATTTGTTTTACTCATAATGCAAAGTGTAATGGGTAATGTTTGGAGCAGCTTTACTGCTGGTAGTTGACCTGGTAGTAACGCTGGAGCACCTTCCTCTGCTCCTTCGGTCCGGCCACTCTTTTTGGGTAGCTTGACGGTTGTGTTCTATCACTTTCACAGCAAAACTTCGTGAAACGTATCTTCTCTTGTGCTGAGGAGAGTGCACAAGACAGCTCCTGCACATTCCCAGACAGCTGCTCATTGTTTTTTTGGCTTACATCTTGACCAACTCTAAAACCAGTGGTTTGGAAGTTTTTGCAGGTCTCTGGAATTGACCTGTTTGCGCTTCTAATCTCAGCAATTATATTGTCCTTTGCTTTAAGTTCTTTCTTTATCTTTCTTGAGAACTTTACTAGTGTTAGATAGCTCTTGGTTTAACTCGACTGATTCTCTAACCGAATTGATATAGAGATGTTGGATCTCCGTTTATTTATTCATTTGGATCTCCAGCTCGTGGTCTTTCTTTTGGAGAGAAGCTTTGAGTTTTTCTATTTCCAAATCGTGAGTCTTATTCCTTACCTTTTTGGAGTTTGCAAATTCTTGCTTTAATTGTACATGTTTTTGTACTTTGGAGTTGTACAGGTACCGAATCTGCTGATATATCTTATCCTCCTCTTGCAGTTGCTTCTCTTTCTTTGGAGAGAATCATTGAGTTTTTTTATCTCCAAGTTTTTTTCTTGATTGATTCTCTCCAAAGAATTGTTTAACCTGGTCGGCAAGTTCAGCCCTTGTTCGCTCTAACTCTTCACGGAGCTCCTTGACAAGAGCACTCTCCTCCAGGGTTGGAAGGTCTTGGACCAGGGTTGGAAGGTCTTGGACCAGGGTTGGAAGGTCTTGGACCAGGGTTGGAAGGTCCTGGGCCAGACATCTGTCCTCTGGATTTGAGGGCTCCTGGATGTCAGGAGACACCAGTTGGGTCTCCTGTGGCTGTTGACCGCTCCCTGTTGGTGTGGTGCTGAGCAGAGCCTCCAGATTGAAGCCCTCATCATAGAGATGAGCGTCATCCTCTGTAGTGTAAAGGTACCAGGGCTTGGTTAAGAAAGACGTAGAGCTATCCATGTTTGTGTGTGTATTCACCAGTCTGCTGAGAAGTTATGGTTCAAACTGAGTGGCGCCTCTCAGGGAGAGTTCTAGAACTCTCTCCCTGTTCTATTTTCTTTTCCATGGTGATCAGACCTTTTAAAACAAAACACATCGTACCATAACACTTTATTATATTATTTATATAAATTTCACATCAAACACTGAAGATACATCATTATCCATGTGTTAGGGTCCAAGGGTTAGGACAGCATTTAAGACACTCTACACTCATCTGTGTTGAAAATATGTGTGGTCTGTGCATGTACAGTATGTATAAATATTACTAATGCATATAGCTAATGTTTTCTATTCATTGAGCCTGTGACAGAGTAGCTGGCGACTGGCAAGGGCTATAGTGCCCTCTACCATATACATGAAATGTCAACATTATCAGATTTGTACCGAATTACATTTTATGCATGACTACAAGCAAAAAATGTATTTTATGGATATAGGGCAGTTTTCACCGCTGGATAGCAGGGGTGCAAAGATTCTTCAAAAAATACGTTTAAAAATCGTACACACACATTGTTAGTCCGATGGTGCTGAAATTTTAAACACTAATGCGTGACCTCTGCCTGAATATAATACTGTAAAGCATATAAATAATGTACACTGTAGCGCCCCCTACCATAGACATGAAACGTCAGTATTATCAGACTTGTATTTTTTCTAATGCAGGGTCTGTGGGTTGCTCAGCTGTTGGGAAGGGACAATACCATTCTATTAATGATGTAACATATCAAGTAACTTTACCCAAATGTAAATACATGGGAGAAAATCTCACAAGAATTTTGATTTTGTATTACAAGCTCTTGTAGCATGAGATCTTATCCCATCCCTAAGCAGATTCTTTATGTCTGTTGTCTTGACTAAAGTTACTACCATAATCTTACTAGAGGAAAAATAATCATGCTATTGCACAGAAGTTGCTGATGTAAAAATTCCTTAATTATGTGTGTTTTTGTCAGATTCAGCCCACCGTGGTCTGTCCCCCTGCCCTGCTGTGACCGCCGTCATGAGGAACCCCGTGTACACTGTCCGAAGCCACAGAGTCCACACCAGCAACTGTCCTTCTGTGGCCTCGCAGATCTGCCACCAGCACACCCACACCAGGTGACCCCCCCAGGCACACAGATACACAACTACACTTCATTCACTGAAACCTGCCCAAACCTTCTCTGGAATCCTGCCTCACGACTTTGGTTTTCATGGTATTAAAATGCCAATGCCTGATGTCTCAAAACTAGTGATTTATATAAACTGCCAGTCAAAAATTAGCTTTGCTTTGAGCCCTGCTTTACACTGTTGGCATTTCTTGACCCTGACAAGACATGGGAGTGAAGTGAAAACCATTTCAGGAGACTTCATCTAGAAACCAAATGAAAAGTCTCTGAAAGCAGGAACCTAAATAATGGTCTCAGTGCCCATCAAAAGAGTAGACCAAAACGTTACAGTTGCCATTATATAATGTATTGCAATTTTCAACAAAAATAAGATAATATGATAATATCTATATATAATAACATAATAACAAAAATACTTTCTTTTTTCAGTTTGAATACTTTTCTTTGTTCAGTGAAAAATGGGGAGAGATATTTAACCCATTGAACAACCCACTGAACAATGTCATTATAGAGCCTATGCATGTGCTGTAACCAAACTCCTTTACAATCCTGCACCTCGAACAAACAAAAAACAAACTATTACCTTGTCCTCTCTAGCCCTCAGCACCAGGGCCGCCTGAGTCTGGACCTAACCCAGCAGAAGAGAGGAGCAGACTTCTCTGAGCCTTCATCATCGCGCAGCAGCAGAGCTTCACACGGTACAAACTCTCTGCCCTCCTGCGCCCGCCTCGGTCAGTCTGACACCCACTCACCCACGCACACGCACACCCAGGCCTCAGAGCTGTCTCCGTCTTTAAAAGCACCCTCATTATAACTACTTCAAATGTCTCCTCTGTCTCAGGTGCTATCAGCACAGGCCAGTACCGCACAGAGAGGATCAAGATACCCTCCACGCCCCGTTACCCCCGCTCTGTGGTGGGATCTGACAGAGGTGAGGTTTTCACAGGGGAAACATTCACGGAGGATTTTCATTTGAACTCACACCTTGAATACATATATAATGATTTCAAATGTGGAGTAATAATAATAAGTTAATAAAATATAATAAAAAGCGAAAGGAAGGCCAACTTTTAAAAAATTAGTTTTACGAAGGGATTTAAAAGATGATACTGATGGTGCGAGCCTTATCTCCTCAGGCAGGTCATTCCAAAGCCAAGGCACCGGACTGAAAAGGTTCAGTCCTTCTGTCTGGAGTCTGGACTTTGAAACAGTGAACAGGGACTTGCCTGAGGATCTAAGGCTCGTACAGGGTTAAAAGTTCTGAAATGTAACTTGGTGCAAGACTAAACAAGCTTTAAAAGTGATTGGTAAATTCTTAAAATCAATTCTAAACAGAGGGAGCCAGTGCAGGGAAGTAAAACAGAGGTAATGTGTTGATGTCTGTTAAAAACATCAGCATGTTACTTCGGCATCCTTATTATTCACTGTGATGTGTTTAATCTATTTTGATGATATTCAGAAGTAGTGCTAGCAAACATTAGCACTTCCAGATTCTTGGAGGACAAAATGCTCTATAATTACATACAAAACTCTCATGTTTCATTTACAATAGATCTGTATTGGGACCTGTTTTTCTCAACTACCTTGAAAAAATTGTGAAATAACCACTCTAAATACAATTAATGAGTATAATTATTAATAAAAAGAAAATGGCAAACAGAGATTTAAAAACATGTTCTGATTTCCTCTTTCAGAGTGTAGCAGCCCCAGTCTCATCACACCTCCACAGTCTCCACTCAACCTGGAAACATCCTCATTCGCCAGCAGCCAATCACAGGGCTCCATCTCCACATTACCTCGCATCTCTGTGAGCCCCGTGCCTATCGGAGAGCGCCGAAAGGACAGGTGGGTCACAGTTAGTGTTGGCACCATCAAATGGGCTGTAATCTCTCTATAATACAGCTGATATTAAAACTCTATGCAGAGTGTTTAATATTTGTTTAATATTATGGCTTGTCACAGCCCTATGTAATTCTTATGTGATATTAATCTCTCTGACAATGCATCTGATTTGGGTGGGGTGCCATATTGCCTTTCCTGCCCTCAGGGATCCTCCCGGCTGTATCCGTAGGTGTTGCCTGGCAACAGGTCTCTCACGGTCAGAGCTGAGCCATCCCTCATTGAAATTCTGATTGGAATCGCATTAAACTCAAACTCAAAGTGCCTCTGGATGTTTCCAAAAGCAGCTCTGCTCCATCGTATTAATATTCTTAAAGCTCTGCTGCTGCTTTGTAGTTTGACACTGTCTCTCTGTGGCTTGTGTCTTCCACTCTACCCCCTGTCTCTCTCTCTCTCCTCCCTGTGGCTTTCAGATCTCTCTATCGTAACCGCTCTTTTCTAAGGATTCCTCTGGCTGCTAGGCCGAGGTTCTCCTCTCTCAGAAGCCTCAGGTTTGTTCTGACAGTGCAACCAAACAAGGGAATGTCCCTGTCCCCACGGGCCCCAGCAGCTCATGCTCCCATCGCTGTTTTTCACACAAACAGGATTTCATTTATTTTTACCCAAGACTTTATTTGTGCATGTGACAAGTTGTCTCACTAAAGCTAATGTGAGCTACCTCGTTTCCCCTCTCGCTGGATTTCTGCATGCGGCATACGCCCTGACAATAATGACTTGCATGTTTATTTGAATACGCGCATAGACCCGGACCTGTGATAACCAGGGTCCTGTCCTGTTTGTCCCATAGCACTGCTCCTGTCACTCTGCCCCTGTCTGCTCCTGTCACCGGCTGCAGGTCCATCCTCACTCCTTCCTCTGTGGAAGTGTGACACGTCCCCTCAGATCATTCACTGTGTTTTCACCAGGCTCCTCACGTCACGTCACTTTAATGTACACGTGTGCTTTAGATACAGGGCAGATTTACAGGCCTGGGGAGGACAATCCAACACTAAAACTCTTGTCTCCATCTACGTTTCCTGCATGATTTTGGCCCTTCGTTGATGGATTTAAAGTTAGTTTCCTAACTCTCCAGAGCTGTAAATGAGTTGGGCGGCACAACCTGTGGACATGTGATCCTCACCACAGTCCCCCAAAGTGACTCCAGAAGAAGACAGATTTATGGTTTGGAATAATTATTGACCGGAGTCGTTTTTCCCATTAGGCCGTACTTGGAGGAGCCTCGGAACGTTGTGGTGCATAAAGGGGCGGAGCCTCTGGGCATCTCCATAGTAAGCGGAGAGAACGGGGGCATCTTTGTGTCCAAGGTCACAGGAGGGAGCATCGCCCACCAGGCCGGCCTCGAGTACGGGGACCAGCTGCTCGAGGTACGGGCTCGTATTAGAGTGTGATGCAGTTATTCACATAAGTACGGTGGTAGGAAGGTGGGCAGTTGGAATACAGTTCTAGCCATTTCAAACTTCTGTTATGTCTTTGGGCTAAACAGTATGTGGGCAAGTCTTAAATGAGTATGAAGAGTTAAAGGGCCCATATTACACTATTTTCTGACCTGTTATAATGTTGTATCCTCATCACAAACATACCTAGAGTTGTATTCTGTTTCATTCACACATGGTAACACACAAACCGTGCCAATTTCGGTTGAGTTCTCTCTGACAAAAAAATACTCTTGTGATGTCATGTGGTGATACAGGAAGTGCTCCATTGTGTTTTTAAACTCCATACACCTTCACTTGAACCATTTGGATAATTTCAGCCATGGAATTGATGACCTCTTCTGAACAAAATGTGAACTGTAGCTGTTAACTTATAAACTATCACTATATGACATCACAGAGCATTTTGCGCTTTTGACATATAGACAGACTAATAATAAAGGATTACTCAAACGTGTGAATGAATCAAAGCGCAACATGAAGTATGTTTTTGATGAGATAACAACATTATAACATGCCTTAAGGCTCACAAGATTCAATTGTGCATAATATAGTTCTATTTAATTCTAATAACATTTTCCAAGCTTGTAAACCAGCCTTAATAGCTCAGGTAAACTCACAGTGAACATGCAAAGATTTTTTAAATCCAGTTTTTATTATGTTTTTTAATATACCAGACGTTGATCAAGAAAGAACACTTGTTTTTGTGTTACATAGCACTGAATGTTTATAGACAGTAGTGTTTATGTTCAAGTGAATTATTGAATTATTTGTGCTGAAAGGCATGATTAATTACTTTGATACTACCTTAACTAAAATGTTTTCCAATTCACTTTTTTGCAAATGTCATCATGACCTTCACAGTCACAATTTTGAGTGTGGAAAGTTTTCCAAATATAAATCTGAGCCACTATTTGTCATTGGGTGAGTCATGTCAGTATGGGTTGGATGAACTATGTGCCATATTATGTACTTTTTAAACTCCATACACCTTTACTACCATCACTTGCATAATTTAAGACCTAAACTCAACAAAAGGTAAAATGTAACTGTTAACTTGAAAACTACCACTACATGACATCACAAGGTGGAGCAGAGCATTTCGACCTGTTGAGATGTAGACGGACAAATAATAAAGGGTTACTTAGACTTAGCGTTAGAGACATCAATTTTATTGATGCACAAGGGAAATTATTCGGACACAGCAGCTCACACATCAAAAAATAATATTATAATGACAAAGTGCAAAAATATAAATGGTAATAATATATTCAAAATAAGCAGCAACATTAACAAGAGACTGGTGTCAAAAAAGACATAATTATACAAATGTACAAGTAAAAATAAAAAATATAATAATACAAATATATCTCAACTATATACAAGAGGTTGTATGAATGTGTGAATGAAACAAAACACAACTCCAGGGATATTTTTGGGAAGTAACAATTACAACATGACTAATAGCTCACAAGTCAGTTTTGAATAATACGGGATGGTAGAAATTTCCTGTATGACAAAAAAAAAAAACACACATCAAAACTACTTTACTTTTTTTTGGATGACAAGACATGGCAAGGAAAAATAACATTCGTAAATCAATAATATTTCACTCTAATTCCCTAATCCATCTTTATGCTCTTCTCTTTCAGTTTAACGGCATCAACCTGCGAAACGCCACGGAGCAGCAGGCCCGTCTGATCATCGGCCAACAGTGTGACACCATCACCATCATGGCGCAGTACAACCCACACATGTACCAGCTGGGCAACCACTCCAGGTCCAGGTACATGTGAGAGGGGAAGAGGGAGAGAGGAAGGAGGAGGAGGAGAGAGGGAGAGGATGAGAAGCCAGTAAGAGGGAGGAAGGGAGGCAGGGAGTGGGGAAGAGGGGGAGAGGAGTAGTCCTGTGGTAAACAACTAAAGCAGTTATTGGTAAACTGAAAACATACCAATCGATTAGCCTGAAAAGGGGATGTGGCAAAAGCTTTCAAAACTAAAGGTAAAATCTGGACTCACAAGACTGAACTTGAGTTCATGCAAAAACTACTATTTATACAGAAAAAAAGTACTAGTAAACAAAGTATTTCTATAAAGACATATTAAACTTGTGAATCATGAGTTTACATTAATCTGATTTTTACATATAAATAACAAAAAATACTATATTTTCAGTTAACTCACTAACTTCTCCTATTTTCTGTTCCATTACCTGCTTGTTCCTATGGACATGTCATTGCTCTGCCTTGAATGTTCCACAGTATGACATTAAACAGCTCTACCTTACATTTATTCAATTACAGATCATTTTATAGTGCAAAAATACCTAAAAAAAACATGGATCCTGACTAAACAGGGGCGGCCTCTCCACAGATCTGACCTGTTACTTGGTCTGGTTTGGCCTCCATGAAGATAGAAAGGTTTGATATCATACTGTGAAACATTCCAGACAAAGCAAAAACATCTCCATGAAGAAAAGCATTTGACGGATCCTCCACCAGAAAAGTTACACAATGCACCTTTAATAATTAGTCGACTGCTGTTCATTTTCGTCGACTAAGACATCAAAATCAACCAATTAATCGACTTAATGTCTAAAGACCTATAGCCCCAAAGAAGAGGGAGGGAGGGGAAGGAGTGTAAGGAGAGGTCCCTGTGGGCTGTCTGGCTCCGCTCCTCCATAAGTGCAGTACTTAGAATACTACAAAGTGTTTATGGCCAGGTGTGAGAGCAGTTGTAGCTGTGTTTGTGATGAGGGCTACACTTTTCACACTTGAATGGTGTAGAAAGTCTGAACCAGCAGCCGTGGCCACGTGGAGACTGTAATTACCTGAGTGACTGGTTTTAATAAAAGGTCTGGATGTGTAAGGAAATGTATGCTAGGCTGAAGTCATAGTGTGTAAAGGAGTCCAAAATCAATAATCAATTTCAATTATATACTGCATAAAAGCTTTTTTAGTCAAACTTTGGTATAAGTTTGACTATAATAGACACATTTAAGCTTCAGTATATACACATTAAATTATAGTGAAGTTAATTTTCTAAGCTGCAGTGACCCAAACCTTCTGAGCATCCTAATTATTCACTGTGATGAGTTTATAGAGCTTTTCACATTTTTTTCACAACTAAAACCTGCTTTTACAATATATCTGTACTGGGGCAAACACGTTTTACTTTATTACATGTAAAAATGGGTATAGCCCCTTTTAAGAATGAAAAATGTCCAATCTTACACATTTTAACCATTAAAGGTGCACTGCGTAACATTCATATTTGATGGTGTGCCTCTGCTTCCTCTGTCTCCATGGAAATGTTATTGCTTTGTCTAGAATGTTCCACAGGGTCGATTAAACCTTTCTATCACTAGGGACAGAAGCAGGTCACTACACTATGCTACATTACAATTCAGATCTGTGGAGAGTCGCTTGTATTCACAGAAGGAATGATTGTATTTTTGAGCAAAAGAAACACTTGTAATGTATGAATGCCAGATGTATATGTTTAAAGTCATACCATGGAACATTCCAGGAAGAGCAATAACATCTCTATGTAGATAAGCAGGTAGCTGTGCACCTGAAAAGTTGCACCTTTAATTTATTAGAAACTTTTTGGTTATGTTTATTTCATTAAAGAAAAGTCAGTTGTTTTTCCTGACAGGTTTGTATTAAATTTTTACCACTCTTGAATAAAATATTGTGTATTCTTATAATATATTCTGTTTGGTGTATCTTCTTTGTGTAATCTTTTATAATCCTTTATTTAGCTCTCGTCTGGAACCTGTGAGCACTCAGTCGACCCCACAGGGCAGTGGACCGGTCACTCCAGACAATCACTCCGCCATAGACACCCTGAGCGAGCAGGACGAAGGCACCCTCACCCCCTCCTCCAAACAGACCACGCCCACCACCAGCCCCAACACTTTAGTCAGGTAAACTTACTCTCACTCACAATGTTCACATGAAAATAGTACAGTGTTTGTTCTTTGTTTTTAGTTCAGACTTAATTTAAAATATTTTGTGCCATGTAAGGCCAAAACAAGCAACTTTTTTCAACTTTCTTCAAAAACATTCATAGTTGTTTTGTTTCCTTCACACATGTTTGAGTGATCCTCTGCTCTGTTCTATCTTGTGATGTCATGTGTAGTTTTTAATTTAACAGCTACCTTTTACCTTTAATTCAGTCGAGATTGACAACTGCCGGGCTGAAATCATCCAAATGATTCTAGTGAAGGTGTATGGAGTTTAAAAACACAGTGGAGCACTTCCTGTATTACCACAGAACTCAGAATAGAGAAGAACTCTATAAACGCCTATATACGCAAGGCTTGTGTGTTAAATGTGTGAGTAGAGTAATAAAAACAGCTTTTAATAATAGTTTTTTTTTTCACTGTTTAACTTTAATTAGTGCAGCCCTGGCAAACAAAAGGTACAATTAATTACACAAATACTGACAAAGGTTATTCTTGTTTGGCTTGTACACACAAAGATGAAAACATACAGAGATGAGCCTATTCACTATACTATTTCACCATACTGGAAGAAAGATCATAGACATGGGTCAGTGGATGCAGCAAATGCAATCTGCCCTTCCACTGGAGAAGATATTTTCTGTGTCAAGGGGCAAGCAGAAACTGTTTGAGAGTTTATGAAGGTAGAATCAAAATTGCAATTTCGATAGATGCAATTGGCAAAACACAAGGGGCGCAGTATTTGAAGTACCATCATTTCCTCCACAAGCAACAAAATATCCTGTCTTTATTTTAGCTCAGTACAAACATGTTCTGAAACATGATTCTTGTTTTAGTTTGTCAGTTCATATTCCAGTCTTTTTGTCAATTTTTCTGGACACGTTTAAAATTTTAGCTTTGAACAGAATGTTTTTTCCCAAATCGTTCAACCTTTCTATTTTGTATGTGATTTGAATGTGATTATTTTAAGGTGTGAGTAATGTAAGTTTTTTGTTTTATTTGTTTGCATTAAAGTTCATACCATTACAAATTCAAGTCCTTTTGAATGTCATGCCCTCGTGTTGTCTCAGGATGTCTTCGGACAGCAGCAGGAAAGCGGCAGAGGCGCGGCTGGTGACGGTGCGCAGACCCGGGGTGGAGGTGGGAGTTACTCTTTGCGGAGGAAACCTGCACGGGGTCTACATCCACAGCCTGGAGGAGGACAGCCCGGCTCGGGGACCAGATGGACTGCTGTCTGGAGACCTCATCCTGGAGGTTTGGGCATTTACAATACTGCTCTGGTCACATACATCACTCAAATGTAAAGAATTTTTTAACTTAAAGAGGGAAAAGAACACAGAATGAAATATGCATCAGTGCTCAGAAATACAATGAAGTTATTGTTTACATAGTAGCAGTAAAATGTCTTAAATGTCCTATATTAAACGTGTGAGCTTTTAGTCATTTTTATTTTATTTATTCAATATTTTACCAGGTAAGTCAGTTGAGAACACCTTCTCATTTACAATGACGACCTGGCCAAGAGGCAGTATAAAACAAAAGCACAAACAGAAAACACTCACACGTAAACTATAACATGAAACGGTGAATAGAGATATAAGACGGTGAAACATTTGCAGATTAAAGATATAAAAGTGTTAAAGACATGTGCAAATATCCTGTAAAATAGTCTGGATGGAGTTTTTAAAAATGTTAGATGTCAATACTTCTTCAAAAACATACCTGGAGTTGTGTTTTGTTTCTCCATGAAGATTTTATCGTCTTGTCTGGAATGTTCCACAGTTACACATTATCTGTTACCATGGAGATCAACAGATAGTGAAATATAATAGAAGGTTTCAGGTTAGATCTGTGGAGAAGCATTTATTCAGCTATGTTTGCTTCTGTCATTGAATAAATGTTGGATTTTGAAGTTTAATGCCATACTATGGAACATTCCAGGCATTGCAACAATATACCGACGAGCATGTGCAGACTCCCCACCAGAAAAGTTACATAGCGCACTTTAATATTAATCTGTAATTTAAAGCTGCACAAGTACTGTTAGAGCTGATCAACTTTTATTCCTGAATTCACAAAGTTGTTCAGTAGAAATTGACTGAAATGTATATAAACGGCTTACTCATGGGTCTGTGTCATTTTATTTTTATCTTATGCAAGTCATAAGATAATATTTTTCTCCCAACCTGTCACTGTCTCTCATCGATCCTCTCTTCATCTGCCTTTCCTCCTCTTCCTCCTGTTCCTCCTCGTGTTGAAGAGCTGATCTATTCAAAGTACAGCCCAAACTCATAACACTCTATTCCTGGCATGCCCTCACTTATTTACCCACCGCTAAAGGCCCGCTGCTCCAATTGTCGTGTAGCTCTGTCACCCAGCCTTTGGTCCCACAGCCTGTTTATTTTGCTCCCCCTACACGGCTCAAATCAATACGGCACCAATCTAATAAAACCAAGAGGAAATGTAGCTGTTTTTACGACTAGGCCCCGAACCTGGCGTCGCAAATGATTTCACAGGCGAATGTACACAAGCACCAATCTCCTTGGCTTCTCCCCGCTGTTTTCCATTTCGCTCCGCCTGGTTCTATTTATTTAACGGGTAATATTGTTTGTTTTTGTGTTTCGTTTTTTTTTTTTTTTCCAGTACAACGCGGTGAATATGAAGAATAAAACTGCAGAGGAGGTGTACGTGGAGATGTTGAAGCCGGCAGAGACTGTTACGTTGAAGGTGCAGCATCGGCCCGAGGACTTCAACGCCATCAAAGACCTGCCAGGAGATGGATTTTATATTCGGTGGGTTTGTCTAAAGGTGGATATGGTGTACTAGACGGATTATGAACAGTTGATAGCCAAGGTCAGTTAAATACAATCAATCAATGAACCTGCCCAGGGACGACAGGTGGAAATTAGCACTGATGCTGCAACCTGATGTACAATGCATCTCTCCTGTTAAGGTTAATGTAAAAATTGAGCGCTGTCCCTGTCTCATTAAATACATAAATAAATAAATGAATAAATAACAATGGTAGCTCTTAGTTTAGTCCTGATTTTTGTGTTAGTGGTAAATGGTCACATTTTTCTATAGCACTTTACAACAAGGAACCATTCACCTATTCACACTCACACATTTATACACCAGTGTACGCAGTCACTGGGGGGCTAGGTGGGTTAAGTGTCTTGCCCAAGGATACAACGCCAGCATTCATCTGTGGGAGCTGGAATCATACCAGCCAACCTGTGGGTCAGTGGATCTGCCGCCCCACATTTAAAGCTGCAGTATGTCACCTGCATGATTCTATTGAAACAGAAAGTTAAAACCAAACTTTGTAACATTCTCCGTGAAGATAGAGAAGTTTTATGCCATACTGTGGAAGATTGTAACCAAAGGAACAACATTTCCATGGAAACAAACAGGAGAAGGCCCTCCTCCAGGCCACAAGTCAGGTTTGTGGAGATGGAAGCACACTGAGTAAGGATGTTTTTGTAGTGCAATAAACGCAACTAAAACATGCTTTTATTTTAGTACATTTATTGGCTAAAACGTTATACCCTGTGACTTTAATCATGGTGTAGCTTGTACAAACATTGAAATACTACTGAGCTAGATGGGGTCTAGGTGGGTTAAGTGTCTTGCCCAAGGACACCGAACTGAACAAGCATTTAAGAATCACTCAGTTTCTCAAGACTCAAAGATGACAACTCGATTGGAAGTATTAACAGCTTTTTGATGTCTGGAGTTAAGACATTATATGCTTAAGTTAGTGTGTGACTACAAAAATAAGAAAAATAGAAATAAATTGCACATCAGAATCCTTTTTCATATATTAAAGTCTAGTAAATTCCCAATGCTCCACACTTTTACTAATGTATGTTTTGATAACATTAGTTAAAGGTGTATTGCGCAACTTTTCTGGTGTAAGATCCATCACCTGCTTGTCTTCATGAAGATGTTACTGCTTTGTCTGGATTTTTATTCAGTTACAACTATTAAACCTACATTCTTATACTTGATTTGTAACTTGGTGTAACTAGCCTGGTGGTGCTACCTGCTCAGCTCTCTGGACATAGATAATGCCTGACTGTGGTACATTCCATACAAAGCCATAACATATTTATGGAGACAAGCAAGTAGTGAACCCACCATCAGAAAAAAAGTTGGAGATTAAACCTGTCTATCTCAAGGAAGACAACTATATGCTACATTATAGGTCAGATCTGTAGAGAGGCAACATTATTTACAGAGAGAATTATTGTATTTTTAAGCAATAGAAACACCCATAATGGATAAATGCTCGATAGGTGTGTTTAATGTCATACCATGAAACATTCCTGGCAAAGCAATAACATTCCCATGGACACAAACAGGTGAGAGAGCCTCCATCAGAAAAGTTGCACTTGTACGTTAGTGTGTGAGTAAGTAAAACAGAAATAAACTGCACATCAGAATCCACTTTCGTATGTTAAAGTCTAGTAAATTCCCAAACCTAAATGTTCCGCACTAGAGCATTAGCTGTAGTGTATCTGCTCATTAGCCCAGAGAGCGTAGATGGAAAGTGGGCCTCTAAAATAGTCTGTTTTATTGCGGGCCGTGTGGCAGTGGGGCCTGTTGGTGCAGCTGCTGCAGTCACTTGTCATACAGGCCTGTAGTGATGTCATGAGCAGTAAATCCAGCAGAGGGCCTGTCTCTGATGGTCTGTGTCTGTGAGGTGAATTATGAGGCTCCACATGTACCAGAGGAGACTATTCTGTCCACTCATGTAGTCCACAATACCGCTCTGCTCCACTCTGATAGGATCTCCATACTTTTATCTGCTCCTCAGCCAAACTCAGGTCTCATACTTAACATTATCAGAGAGTACAATTACATATTCAGGAAAAATCAGATAACTAGAGTAATCACCCAAGTAATAACCCAAGGACTTGATCTGATTTTTGGTTTTTGGTTTAGATGCACACAAGAAGACTGGTAATCTAAAAGATCTGGTAGTGAGTATTGACTGTAGTTTTTAGAAGACAATGTACAATGATTTTCACTTGAGTTTAATTCTGAAGTAAACCTGGACTAGATCTAGGACTAACCAGGACTAGAGCAGAACCAAAGCATATCTGGACTAAATGGGGTTCAGACCAGGACAGTAACAATCGTCAGGAATGGTCAGATTTTGTCGTAACTAGTGTTGTTAAAATTTCAAATTCAAATAATAAAGGAATATACTGTACATCTCAGTACCGATTCTGATGCCACAATGATAATTGAAAAACATAATCTTTACACAATAATCTGATTTTCTACATTAAATTGTAGTACTTTCTTTTAAATCATGTGGCCTTCTATCTGTGTAATCCCTCAGTGGTCCAGGTAGGTTCCATAGAGGTCCGTGTGTATACTAGTCTGTGTGCTCTTATATTTGTTCATGTTCAGGATCATTCTAAAGCTATTCAGGAAGCATTGTGCCATGAATATGACTTGTTTTGTATCGATACCTGCTCCAAAGAGTATCTAGTTTCAATACTTTGACAGCAATCTGCTTTTTTTTTCCAGCCCTTCCTCAAATGACTATCTAGCTTTGATACTAGTTTTCGTATTGATTAGTCTCTACTTTTTGATACTTTTGACTTACTAAACTAACTCATTTACCTGCTTTTGTTCCCCCAGAGCACTTTACGAGCGTGTGGGTGAGGCCGAGGGGGACCTGAGCTTTAAGAAGGATGACATCCTGTTTGTGGACGAGTCTTTGCCGGCGGGCAGCTTTGGCACGTGGATGGCCTGGCAGCTGGATGAGAACGCACAGAAGATCCAAAGGGGCCAGATCCCCAGCAAATACATGTGAGTACTATGTCCATATGTCCAGGAGCACACGCATGACCAGACGCACATGCACGTTTCAGTTAAGGAGAGAGAAGGGGGGGGGCAACGCAACAGCCGGACAATACCAGCATTCTTCAGTTATAAGCTTACTCTAGTCTGTACAACTTTAGATTTGAACTATAAATGTTTTCTGCATATTCTGAAGGCATTTCAGTGGTGTCCTGTGTCAGTATACGCTCTAGAGTTTCACATGTCATGTCTAGGGCCGTGGTACAATATGGGACATGTACGTAGTTATTGTGCAGTTATAATTTACAACATAAGTCTTCTCTGTGTTTATGTGACGATTATATTTTAAGAAAAGTTGTAAAAAAATATATAACAAAAATATATTTACAAAAAGTTATTAATATAAAAAACTAAAGAAATATACACAAAAGAGTTTTATAGTATGAATGGAAATAAATAAAAATATTAGCTGAAAGTACTATTGAAAACAAAAATGTGCAAATTGTGCAGATATTAGACTTAGAAATGTGGACTGATTCACCAATTTTGTCAACTTTAGATTTCACTTTACTCACTTTTTGCCAATAAATAAACATAAAGATCATTAAAAAGTTTTGCTAATATGATTAGAGGTTCTGTACTCATATTTTAAATACTGAAAAACAAAATTCGGTCATTTTAAACATTTGTAGAGACTCAGACGAGATTGAAATTTTGCCATAACTGTAAAACTAACAACAACAAGCATGCTAAACGTGCACTTCCAGGTTATCTGACAATAAAAAAAGCTTTCTTATTAGATGTAGATAGCAGCTCTTGAGGTATAAATAAGTTTGCTGCGTGCTAGTAGAATATATCTGTACTGGGATTAGACACATTTTGTTAAAATACATGAAGGGAAAATGAGTACAGGCCCTTTAAATTGGTCTGTGTGAATAAAATGGAAAGACACAACTCCAGGGACCAGCTATGCATGTCTAATTTAACTTAAAATCTTGTTAAATTAGACATGCATAATATATTTAATACATTTGTACCTGCAGTCGGTACCAGGTGTCCATGGTAACCGCTCTAGCAACAGTGACCTCATGAGAAACTGTTGAACTTGTGTGTATTTCTGTCGTGAGGTTTCTCCTTCCACAGATTAACTATTTTCCCTAACCCCACCTTGAACCTGCGCTCCACATACCTGACCCCTGACCCTGCTTTTGAGTGTTGTTTGCTGTCCTGTAAAGTCAGCAGTCTATCTGTTTGTGCGCGTTTGGCTTTATATCTGTGTAATCCAGGTAGGTTCCGTAGTGGTACATGGACGTATACTAGTCTCCGTGCTCTTATACTTGTTCTGATACAGCTCCAGATCGTTCTAAAGCTATTCAGAAAAGGTTCATTTCTGTCCTGTTAATGTGACTTTTTTTTTTAGTATCGGTGCCTGCTCCAATGAGTGTCTATTTTCAGTACTTGTTTTAGTATCAATTAGAACCTGACTTTCATGTTCACGTGTCCAGGATGGATCAGGAGTTTTACCGGCGCCATAGTGTGACCGAGCTCAAGGAGGATTCTGGGAAAACCCTGTCGGCAGCGGCACGCAGGTCCTTCTTCAGGAGGAAACAGAAACACAAGCGCAGCAGCTCCAAAGACGGCAAAGACACAGCAGCTCTAGACGCCATCAGCACCGACTCCATCCCTTTCTTTGATGGTATGATTGATATCACATTTTTAAAGAGGGGTTATTATGCCGAGGTTTTTTTTTTTTGCGTGTTTTAGTTTTCAACCTTGTTATAACATTGTTCCCTCACCAAAAACATGCCTGAAGAGGTTTTAGATGTCATCCAAGCATGTTTCTTTTCAAAACCTTCTTACGGTTAACTGTGTGATTCTGTACAATGCTCATCTCACAAGTCTACATCATCAATATAGAAAAAACCTGATAAAAAATTGTACGCAACAACTTGACAAACCTGATGTGATGTGTAGTAGTTTCATTAGCAGGATACACGCTGACTGTGTTGTGATATTGATCTGAATGGGGAGAGACTCCGAGCATCAAAAATGAAAGTGAAACTTATAAGATATGCTCATACGGATTTTTTGGTAGGGTGACCAAATGTCTGTTTTTTCTCCGGATATGTCTGTTTTTTTGCATCCTGTCCTGGGCGTCCGGGTTTTTTTTTTTTTTTTTTAAGTGATGGAAATGTCCGGGATTTCATTATCGTTCATTGGGGCCATTAAATTGAGCGACTCTTGTAGCTCTCTGTGCACTCAGAAGGAGCGAGCAGACACAAAGTCAGTGAGTCTGCAACATGCCAAAGCGCAAATGCGGGTTTTCACAAACGGAAATATGGTCACCCTATTTTTCGGTGAATATAGCATTTACAAAACAAGATCTAAACATGTTATGTGTTGGCAGTTAATACTCCATAGAACTAAAATACCCCCTCTTTAATCATTTAATCACACATATTGTTTCCCTAATATCTGATGTATGTTCTGATGTCAGACTGTGTGAGCTTGGCGTACCAGCGCGTGCAGAAGATGGAGTGCTCCTCCCCCAGACCAGTGCTGCTCCTGGGGCCGCTCACTGACCCGGTCAAAGACATGCTGGTCAAAGAGTCTCCAGGGAAGTTCTTCAGATGTGTGCTGGGTACGTCCAACTCACAGCCGTGATGTGCATTATACTTTTACTCCAGGGGGGTCTAAACTTTTTTCACCCAGGGCTGCATATTAGAACATTATTCAGTCGGGAATTCAGTGTAGCTTTCAGATGGATGCTTTTTACACAGCTTAGACAGAGCTCAGAACATATTTATTCATAGTTTAATGTGCAAAATGTGCTCCGATTGTGTTGTGATAGAATTTTTTGTATCAAAAATATGAAAATGAAACTTATTTATTTGTTCCTGGGTCATGGTTTGGCCACCTGTAATTTCACTTCATAACTGGTGATAGTAAACAACTACTGAAGCCACAATGAGCCAAAGGCTGAAGTGAGGCTGCGAATCTCCCAAACACGTACACACCACATGCAGAGACAAGATGTACAGAGAAAGTCACAAATGATTCATCTGCAATCAGTATTTCATAATGTTTTGGATTTTTTTTTACCCAGATTTTGTTCCTTTGAATCTAGCGCAGAATACCTTTACATCCAAGTGTTAGAAGTATATTTAAAGGTGCACTTTTCTGGTGGAGGGTCCATCAAATGCTTTTCTCCATGGAGCGGGTTTTGCTTTTCTGGAATGTTTCACAGTATGGCATTAAACCTTTTACCTTCATGGAGACCAAACCAGACCAAGTTACACGTCAAATCTGTGGAGAGGCAACGCAGCTCACAGTCAGAATGCCTGTTTTTCTAAGTATTTTTGAGCAATAAAACCACCTGTAACTGAATAAATTAGGGTCGCACTATTAGGACATTTATCTGTTTGTAAATTGATTTAAATATAGAGAGTCATATCGGCAAGATTTATGCCGATAACCGATACGTCTCCAAGTGCCCATATCAGCTGATGATATTGACCAACCGATATATCTGTTGGTCCCTTGAATAAATGTAAAGTAAATCTGTTCCATATCCGTAGAAACAAGCAGGTGACAGACCCCAAACCTAAAAGTTACACAGTGCACCTTTTAAAATGAGCATATGTGTGAGAATGACGGTTACATTTTCTCTTTTTCATGCAGAGGTGATGAAGGCCTCCCAGCAGGCCATCGAGCGCGGCGTGAAGGACTGCCTCTTCATCGACTACAAACGCCGGAGTGGCCATTTTGACGTGACCACCGTAGCATCTATCAAAGAGATCACAGAAAAGGTACTCTAAACTCCCTCTTCATTTTCCCTTCTTCATTTTCTCTTCCTCGCGATAAAGCCTCTCGTGTTTGTCTTTAATCTCACTGTGTGCTCCAGATAACACATCAAATCTTCCATCTAATAACAAGTCTCCGCTTTGCTCCTTTTTGACGATTCTCTCATGGATTTTGTGTCTTTTTTGTGGACTCAGGGTTGCCACTGCCTGCTGGACATCGCCCCACACGCCATTGAAAGACTGCATAGTGTTCACATCTACCCCATTGTCGTCTTCGTCCGCTACAAAAACGCCAAACAGATCAAGTAAGCGTTTTGTAAAGTTTTGTTGGTTCATTCAGATTTGTTTCATTAATTGATCCAAAGTAGCCTTCTCTGAGCACTCAAAAATGCTCTGTTCACATTTTGCCTGTTTAGTTGCATCACAGATAAAGCTCCAGTCTTCAGCTACTTAGTTTTTAAAGTAATAAACCATCACTCGACTCATTCTACGGTCATATTGTGTTGGCATAGGATTCAGAGCTGCATTAGTTTTGTTTCATGGTTGATGACTTCTGTTGCTCCAGTCCCTAAAAGCTTCTTTGGAAACAGCTGTTGTTTATGAAATACTGTATATTTTCCAACTCTGTCTAATTATTTTAGTTGGAAAAATGTTAAATATTAATGCCAAAATGACCACGTTATGTTTAAAAGGGAAATAAAGACACCAAAAATGCATAATATATAAATGAAATGCTTCCGGCTTCATAGACTCTGGCTCCAATTGATTTTCTATTGAAAAATTGTCACCTCTCTCTCTGTAACTGCTGCGGTGAATCTCGTCCATTTTATTCTTAAAATGTTCATATAAACGCGCTCTACATAATGTTTTTTATCAATCAATCAACATGCAACAGATCCACATATACAACAATTTAAACAGAAACATAAAACATAAACATAAAGCTCCTAAAGGTTAGAGTAAAAATAAAAATGAAGAGCTAAAATCAGCTGGAGACTAAGTAAAATGATCATTTAATTTCAAGCAAAAATAATAATAACAATAATAAAAATAATTTAGCTTAAAACAAGTAAAAGTTTCAATTAAAAGCTAAATTAAAAAGATACATTTTGAGTTTCCTTTTAAAAATATGAAAGATCCTCAGGTAAACTGTTCCAGGGACGGGGGCCATAAAAAAGACGCAGCAGGAGTAAAAGACGCCTCACCCTGAATTTTAGTTTGGATTCTTGCCACAGTTAAAAGATGACCATCTGAGGACCTGGGAGTCCGGGAGGACTCATATGATGAAAACAGATCAGATAAATAAATAGGAATAAGACCCTCAATATCTTTATAAACCAATAAAAGAACCTTAAAATCTATCCTGAAGCTCACAGGAAGCCAGTGCAGAGACTTCAGTACTTTTATTTTGCTATTTTGTCCAGAAATAAATTCCTACTCCTAATACAAAACTGGCTCCAAATTTGCCTCTATAACCACTAGTTTTGTGAGCTTCCTTTGACCAGAGCTGAACACAATGGGTGACGTCACACTCCCTCAGTCCACTTCTTTACACAGTCTATGGTTTATTCCCTAGACAGCATTAGCCTGTTAGGATTGGTGAAATAAACCTAGATATCCTGCTTCACGGAGATGCTATGGGACTGTAGATGAGGCTGGTCTGTCAGCACACTGGATCACTTGTCCTAATCCCAAACAGCTGCTCCCACATGTCCCGGATACAACTTGTGCCTTCATTCAGACTCTACTACAGTCTGTTTGGGCTGCATCGGATTTTAAAAACCCTTCAGCCAAGGAGTGTTCAATGCCTCTATCCAAAGACTGTGGTGTCATTAATAGCGCTAGGCCTGATTTTACTGCCTCAAAAACGTGAAAAGAAAAAGAAAGCGTCAGAATTTGTTCGTTTTAAACAGTTTGCAGTGGGTCCCGTCTTATTCCGCACTTATCTTATGCATTCCAAGTATCCTAATTATTCACCATGATGTGTTTATGAGCGCTTTCCTCAACTTTCAGAGACCAGAGTGGAGTTTGGCAGTCACAGTATAGCTAATAACAACTAGCATGAATAAATAAATAAATAAAACAACAGGCATATTTTGACCTCAAGAGTTGATTATACAATAAATCTATACTGGGCAATGCAGTTTTTTCTCAAATACATGGGAAAAATCAGGTACAATGCCTATAAAGTAAAGAAGCCAGCTACCCAATGTTATACTATGATTTACTTGTACATAGTAGTTTATATTATAAAAATCTAAAAAGTGTGTATCAGACCTAAAGCTGTTCAACTCTTCTTACAAAATACATGTTACTTTTATTTAGAAACTGTTAAGAACACCAAGATTCACATTTTCTCTTGACTTAATGCTTTTTGTAATAGATTTAACTCAGTGTGTCTTTCCACAGGGAGCAGAAGGATCCCATTTACCTGCGGGACAAAGTCTCTCAGAAACATTCCAAGGAGCAGTTTGAAAGTGCGCAGAAGATCGAGCAGGAGTACAGCAAATTCTTCACAGGTTACTCCTCACATGTTATTTTCTATTAGGTCCAATCTCACCTTTTAGAATTCATCCCGAGCTAGCTCCAGGGACCTCAGATGATATGTAATAGTTTAAATGTGGCTTGACGTTCTTCAAGTGCAGTGGTGAATGTAGATTCTTATTTGTTGGTCGGTCACTTTGGTGTATTGAGCCCTTTGTCCTGAAAATACATTAAACATTAGACATGGGGCTACTTTATTACTATCAATTTGTAGGTGGTCTGTTTTTTGTGCCTGGGGGACATAAATGTCAACATTTGTTATTACGGGGGGTCGCAACTGAAAGAGAACCACTGCCCTGAACTACACTTTTGACCAAGTACCTCCTTTAACAGCTGGGGGTTAAACAGCATCTTGTACTCTAAAACCAAACTCAGGTTGATGAACATATTTTCTGACTGTGTCTGTGTCCTTGTCTTGCAGGTATTGTCCAGGGCGGCCCTCTCCCGTACATTTGCACTCAGATCATGACCATAGTTGATCAAGAACAAAGTAAAGTCCTGTGGACTCCTCTTGGCTGCCCCTAGTGGACATTTGCAGCCACTCCAACTCCTGAGCTTTGAACACTATTTGTAACACTAACAGCCCCTTTGACACTCCTCTTTGGTACACTACAGCAGTCTGCAGTTTACACGTGTAATCAGAGCCTTGTGTGGTAGCTCTGACTCTCTCAGTCTTCTCTAAGGCTCTGAGGCCTCCTCTGCTGGAGGACCACGAGAATCAACACTAATGAAGTCCTGCACAGCCCGGCCCCCTTCACTAAAGACATTTGTGCTCATCCTAACAATCGACAATGATCCAGCTCCAACACTGACGGCTCCTCTGTGTGTCTGTGACACTACAGGACTTCAGCTCAATGATGTGAGCGTGAGAATCATGACATAAAGAGGTGTTGTGACTCAAGTGTATGTAGCTTCCGCTGTCCTCAGAGGCCTCCTGATGCCTGCTCTATGCACAGTATTTCTATAGTAGCAGAGACAGTTGAGAAGTGCCTTTGGAGAAGAGGCGGATTCACATGTGTCTCATGCATCTGTCAGGAGCAGACAGGAGTAGACAGGTGCAGACAGGAGCAGAGCGGGCGACAATGACAGGGGGTTTACTCCTCAGAATGCACTCCAGGGCTAGACAAACCACTGTGGAACTATCATGTATCTTAGATTCTATTTAACGACATATAGGCTATAATACAGTATGCAGAACCATCAGATATAAATCTATATAAGAGTATAGATACTATATATTCATGTATTTTCACTAGGTGAAGGCCTAGGCGCGTCTGCAGTCATGTCTTTTCAGCATGTTTTTACACAGGTGACCTTTCACCTCCCCAGTACTCAGTGCTGTGAGACTCTATGAAGCATTGCAGGGTAACACTACATATGATCCGCTCTGATGTTAGTGACTTTTCATTGTTATTTAATTGTATTTTTGTATCTTTCAGGAGGCTGACAGTCCTCTCTGCAGCGTATCTTGTATCATTGTGCCAAATCCACTAAGGCCACTGCTCCTTCACTTCTGTTTTGCACTTGTTTACCTGTGAACCTTACACATGTCAGTTAGGTTTTCAGTAGACTCTGAACATAGGTACTATTCCAATTTCTACTGTTACTAATGTTTATGTATGAGATCCTTACATTTCAGTGATGGCCTTTTCTTCTTGATTAGAAAATGAATAACTTTTTATTTGAAAATTCAAAAGGGATTTATTCTTGCACAGTTTGAAGGTTAATGAGTTTGAGGCTAACGGCTTAAACAAGTTCTTGGCATGTTAGCGTGAGAGAGAGGGGGTACATCGTGCTGTCTGTATGCAGAAGGAGACGAGAGGACAGGTACTGATGAACTTTTATTACAGAATGTGATTTGTATGTGAAGACATTAACATGAAAATAAAAGTCATTTTCTGTATCGCAACATTGTTCATTGTGCTTTTGAGAGGTGTTTTTTGACAAACTTTCTTGGTTTGATTAGGTTTTTACTGGATTTTAAAAAAAAGATCCACTATGTAACTTTTCTGGTGGAGTCTTATCGACATGCTTGACCAGGAATGTTCCACTGCACTACATTATAATTCAGATCTGTGGAGAGTCTTGCCTATTCACAGAAGGAATTCATGTATTTTTGAGCAGTAGACATGCCTGTAATGAATAAATGCTAGATGGAAATGTTTCATGTCATACTAGGGAACATTCCAGGCAAAGCAATAACTTCTCCATGGAGATGAGCAGATGGTAGACTGGCTTCCATCATAAAAGTTATGTAGTCTGTCTTAAATACTAACTTTTAAAATTGTTATCCAGGTTATACAGCAAAGAAAGCCACCATGGCACAGGTAAAATCACCAAATCAATTCTAAAATCTCTTCTAAACACTAAAAGGTACTGGATTTCTGTCTTTGGGAAATGTTTAAGTATTCCGCAGCAGCAGCAGAGTCACGGTACATGACAAACTGACAGCTCGAATGTCTGACAATTTCTGAGAGGAGATAAGCGCCTCATATCTGCAGCATCTCCTCCAGAGAATGGGACTGATAAAGTGTGGTGCAGAATGACAAGAGATAACTGCGCTTAACTTTCTCTCACATATGCCCCTAGTGTGAACAACAACTGCTGTGGCATTTTCTGCTACTTCATCCTAAAAATAAAATATAATAATATAATATATATTTAACCAATCGCTGCTATTTGGTCATGACGTATGTAATGCGTCGTTAACAGGGCGAACTGATAAATTAAACTTTTCCCAAATCCTGTAGGAAGAAGGACAATAACGTCTTGCCCCTTGATAAAATTCACCAAACATTCTCTTTATTCTGGCTTTAAATCCTCGATCTTGGGAATCGTTGCCAACACAGAATATATGGCTCTTCGCTGATTGGCTGGTGCCCGAACTCGCACTTCCAGGGTTCTTGCAAACCGTCTATTGTATTCCGATTCCTGACTTAGTCGCTGAAGAGAAATGCAATAGAGCAGAGGGACTAGGTGGCGCCAGCCTGCCTAGAGATACACTGGGCCAAACTGAAATTTTTGACAAATAAAATGATAAGAAAACACATTTTATTGAAGTTATATTAAGCTTTTCCCAAAAGAAGGACAATACCGTCTTTCCCCTTGATAAAATTCACCAAACATTCTCTTTGTTCTGGCTTTAAATTCTTGAATATATGGCTCTTCACTGATTGGCTGGTGCCTGAACTTGCACTTCCGGGGTTTTTCTCAACCGTCTATTGTATTTTGATTCCTGCCCTAGTTGCTGGAGAGAAATGAAATTGAGCGGAGTCACTAGGTGTCGCCAGCCTGGCTAGACTCCTGTTCCTCCAGTGCCTAAAAGCCTCTTTGGAAACAGATATAGTTTATGAAATACTGTATGTTTTCCAAATCTGTCTAATTATTTTGGTTGAAAAATGTGAAATACTAATCCCAAAATGACCAAAAGTATATTTAAAATGGAAATAAAGACATAAAGAATGCATAATATATAAATGCGATGCTTCTGGCTCTATAGACTCTGGCTCCAGTTGACTTTCCCAAAAGGCAATCTGAGGAAATAATAATAATTAAAAAAAAAAAAACTGTCATAGGCTACTTCATTTTAAACAGTCAGCAGTGGTTCAGAGTTGTTTGTCGCTTACCTTATGCATTATGAGCATCAAAATTATTCACAGTGATGAATTTATAAGCACTTTTCATAACTTTCAGAGACCAGAGGGAAGTTTTACCCTGACTCTAAAGTGAACTAAACCCTTCACGGATACTAGTTTTCCGTGTACTTGGTCACCCTAACTGTACCAAGTAGTAGGTAGTATGTAATATGTCTTGTGTCGTATGTTGTATTAGTTTGTAGTCTGTAGTTTGTAGTATATGTAGTATGCAGGTTGTAGTATGTAGTGTGGGGAGTGTAGTATGTAGTTTGTAGTATGTGTAGTATGTAGTGTGGGGAGTGTAGTATGTAGTTTGTAGTATGTGTAGTTTGTAGTACATGTAGTATGTAGTTTGTGTAGTATGTAGTTTGTAGTATATGCAGTATGTAGTTTGTAGTCTATGTAGTATATAGTTTGTAGTATGTGTAGTATATAGTTTGTAGTATGTAGTTTGTGTAGTATATAGTTTGTAGTATATGTAGTATGTAGTTTGTGTAGTATATAGTTTGTAGTATATGTAGTATGTAGTTTGTATAGTATATAGTTTGTAGTTTGTAGTATATGTAGTATGTGTAGTATATAGTTTGTAGTATGTAGTTTGTAGTATATGTATCTAGTTTGTGTAGTTTGTAGTTCGTAGTATATGTAGTATCTAGTATGTGTAGTATATAGTTTGTAGTATGTAGTATGTAGTTTATAGAATGTGTAGTATATAGTTTGTAGTATGTAGTTTGTGTAGTATGTAGGTTGTAGTATATGTAGTATGTGTAGTATATAGTTTGTAGTTTGTAGTTCGTAATATATGTAGTATCTAGTATGTGTAGTATATAGTTTGTAGTATGTAGTTTGTGTAGTATGTAGGTTGTAGTATATGTAGTATGTGTAGTATATAGTTTGTAGTTTGTAGTTCGTAGTATATGTAGTATCTAGTATGTGTAGTATATAGTTTGTAGTATGTAGTTTGTAGGTTGTAGTATATGTAGTATGTAGTTTGTAGTATGTCTGTCTTATAAACATTTCTCACAACTTTCAGAGACCACAGTGGAGTTTTACCATGACTACAAAGTGAACTAAACCCTTCACGGATACTAGTTTTCCGCGTACTTGGTCACCCTAACTGTACCAAGTTGCCGGTTGACTGCACAGCACCCTTAGGACCTTCCCCGGGTGGTGCTGGTATAAGGTCGCACGGTCCCGTTAATGCCACCGGGCCCGGAGGTTCCTTTGCGCGCGCTGGAGCCGAACCGTCTTATCAAAGCATCCGCCATCTTGTCTGAACCCACCACGAGCTTCTCCAGAGGCCGTGGAGAGAAGCGGCTTGAAATAGTGACTTTGAGTTGGTGATGTAACTCAGATCCTCCAGTGTTTAAAAGCTACTCGACTGGCACTAACTATGTCCTTTACTGTGCGTATATTGCTAAAAGGCAAGTCTGTTAATATAGGCCTGTTTCATTTACAGCGCGGAATAATGAGGTCCACAGACAATTGCAATTTACTGTGGATTTTTATATTGTGTTACATCTTTTCGTTTTTTATGTATATATATCTAATATTATACAGAACTTATGATCAGAACTTAAAACATTACAAGTCTGATCACAAGATAGTCTGTTAATATTCTGTTAATATAGGCCTGTTTCATTTACAGCAGCGATTAATGAGGTCCTTAGATAATTCCAGTTTATTGTGGCTTTTTATGTTGTGTTAAATCTTTAAAAATATATATATAATACTGAACTTATGATCAGAACTTGTAACATTACAAGTCTGAACACAGCGTAGTCTTTTAATATAGGCCTGTTTGATTGACAGCGCAGAATAATGAGGTCCATAGACAATTCCAGTTTATTGTGGATTTTTATATTGTGTTATATTGTAAAAAATGAAAAGATCTATGTGTTTTTGAGTGTCCAAAAAAGGGCTGTATCAGAGGTCTCTAACCTTTTTCCTCTAGTGAGTTACTTTTATGAATTGAAAATGCCAGAGAGCTACTCATTTTAGCAGTCGCAAGAAATTGAGAAAGTATAGGAGCCATGATAAGAATTACACAGGCTACTGTTAGATGCCTATTAAACAAAACACATTATTCATTTATTAGTGCACAAAGTAGACATCAAAATGCCACATTTACAATAGTAATTAATCAGATTTTAGGTATTAAGCGCATTACATATAATTCAGAAATTCTTTGGTGAGCTACTTAGAAGGGGTTGGAGATAGGGCTGGGTATCATTAAGAAGTTGCCGATACGATACATACCTCGATATACAGGCCACGATACGATACATATCTCGATACAGTGCACTTTCGATTCGATATGATATATTTCAAATTGATTCGATACAGTTCAATAAAAATAAAGGCTAAATCATGGCTGTGATACTAAAAGTCTTTGTTAAACCGCTTCTTGTGCAAAGTTCATATGAAACACAAACATTTTAATCATCAAAACAGTAAAAATATCAAATGTGTTGCATAAATGAGTTTCCTTTCACTCCACAAGCAACAAAACTGTAGCTCTAACAAAATAATTTAGTAAAACACACCTAAAAATACTCTTATATATCGATACAGTAGCCCACGATATCGATACTGTATCATCACATTAAACAATACGATATATCGATATTCCGGTATTTTTGCACACCCCTAGTTGGAGAGTTACTGGTAGCTCCCAAGCCACAGGTTGGAGATCCCTGGGCTATGTAAACCAGATCCATGATTATTATACTGAATTTCTGATCAGAACTTCTGACTACTTCTCTCAATAATAAGAAGACGACTTTGAGTTTCTTGTACATGTCCAGTGTACACTAGGGTGCACTGTAAGATGGACAGCCCATGTTCCACTGCAGTGTACACTATACACTGATCTCCTACAACATGAGCACCAGAGTATGCAAACATTACTCCACACACACACAACATTTAGGAGCAGAGAACCATTTAGCGTCCCCCTCTGCCTCCTCTGCCCACTGTGCCACCTGTGCCCTGAAGACTGGCTCCATGTATCTGGCTCCTGCCTCGTCTGGAGCCTGTAGGAGCCACAGTCTGACCAGAGGCTGCACTGCCACCGTCTGAACTGTGAAGAATGCTGTTGTGGTGAGCTCTCACTATTCACCTCCACCACATCCTGCACAGTGGATACTCCTGTGCGTCCCCCCCACCCCAGTGCTCCGACTCTCCCCGCTGCTTTATAGGCGTCCTGCTGCGTGTGTTTCACAGCTGTGAACAGCTCCACTGAACATGAGAAGTCTTGAGTATCAGCCAAAGACCCTG